TGAACAATTTTTTCCAGAATTTTATTAAACTTATATCATAGGTTTATATCAGCAATGTCTTGGACGATTTTCGAAAATCAGTCTCAAACAATTATTTTTAAAAGAGTTATGCCCCTGGGAAACATTAGTTATATGGAAAATTGCATTGTTAGTGCTCTCATGTGAACAATTTTTTCCAAAATTTTATGAAACTTAAATAATAGGTTTATATCAGCAATGTCTATGACCAGTATGAAAATCAGTGTCGATCAAAGTTTTGTAACTGAGTTATACCCCTTGGAAATATTTATTATATGGAAAATTGCCTTATGAGCGCTCTAATATGTACAAATTCTTGCCAGATTCGATGAAATTTGTATTACAGGTTTCTATCATCCATGTCTTTGATGAGTTGGAAAATCAGTGCAGATCAATTATTTTTAAAAGAGTTATGCCGCTTGGAAATATTGATTATATTGAAAATTGCATTGTTAGCACTCTCATGTGTACAATTATTGCCATAATTTTATGAAACTTATATCATAGATTTAAATTAGCAATGTCTTTAACACTATCGAAAATAAGTTCTGATCAAATATTTTTAATGAGTTATGCCCCTTCGAAATATTAATTATAATGGAAATCACATTGCATTTGCTCTGAAGCCTTCATTTCTCTAAGATATTGATAAAAAGTCTTATAGAATAAAAAAAAATGCTTTTTGAGCTCACCTGGCCCGAAGGGCCTAGTGAGCTTTTCTTATCACTTGACGTCCATTGTCCGTCGTCGTTAGCTTTTACAAAAATCTTCTCCTCTGAAACCACTGGGCCAAATTTAACCATACTAGGCCACAATCATTATTAGGGTATCTAGTTTAAAAAATGTGTCCGATGACCCCGCCAACCAATCAAGATGGCCACCATGGCTAAAAATAGAACATAGGGGTAAAATGTAGATTTTGGCTTATATCTCTGAGTAAGTCTGACATAGGGTAAAACTGATTATCAGGTCAAGATCTATCTGCCCTGAAATTTTCAGACAAATCTGACAACCTGTGTTGGGTTGCTGCCCCTGAATTGGTAATTTTAAGGAAGTTTTGCAGTTTTTGGTTATTATCTTGAATATTATTATAGATAGAGATAAACTGTAAACAGCAATAGTGTTCAGCAAAGTAAGATCTACAAATAAGTCGTCATGACCAAAATTGTCAGTCGACCCCTTTAGGAGTTTTTGCCCTTTATAGTCAATTTTTAACAATTTTTCGTAAATTTTTGTAATCTTTTACAAAAATCTTCTTCTCTGAAACTACTGAGACAAATTTAACCATACTTGGCCATAATCATTATAAGGGTATCTAGTTTAAAAAATTTGTCCGATGACCCCGCCTTCCAACCATCATGGCCGACATGGTTAAAAATAGAACATAGGGGTTAAATGCAGTTTTTGGTTTATATCTCTGAAACTAAAGCATTTAGAGCAAATCTGACAGGTTTCAAAAATGTTCATCAGATTTAGATTTATCTGCACTGAAATTTTCAGATGAATCCGACAACCCGTTGTTGGCTTGCTGCCCCTGTGTTAGTAATTTTACAGAAATTTTGCAGTTTTTATACGACCGCAAAAAAATTTTGTGGTCGTATATTGGTATGACGTTGGCGTCGTCGTCGTCGTCGTCGTCGTCGTCGTCGTCCGGCGTCGTCGTCGTCGTCCGGCGTCGTCGTCCGAATACATATTGGTTTTCGCACTCTAACTTTAGTTTAAGTGAATGGATCTTTTTGAAATTTGACCATAAGGTTAAATACCACAAAAGGAAGGTTGGGATTGATTTTGGGGGTTATGGTACCAACAGTTAAGGAATTAGGGGCCAAAAAGGGGCCAAAAATGAGCATTTTCTAGTTTCCAGACAATAACTGTGGAACGGTGTATGGATCTCTCTGAAATTATACTACAAGTTTCCATACCACAAAGGGATGGTTAGGATTTGCTTTGGGGGGTTATGGCTCAAACCGTTTAGGAATTAGGGGCAAAAAAGGGGGAAAAACAAGGTTGTCCTGGTTAATGGACAAATACTTTAGTACAAAACATAATTTAAAGCAGTGTAAGGGAGATAAATCAAATACATCATTGAAATTATCTCCCTTACACTGCTTTTAAATTATGTATAAAGTAATGGTTAATGAACAATAAAGATAATCTAAAACAGTGTAAGGGAGGTAATCCAAATACAACGTTTTGGTTACTTCCCTTACACTGCTTTTAAATTATGTTTAAAGAAATGCATATTTATAAAGGAAGACCAGTAAAAATATCTGCAAATGTTTTCATCTTTTTTTTTTACAAAAAAATCCATATGAAAGATTTGACACTATATTTTTATTAATTCTATTATAAAATAGATTAAGTTAGCACTATGGTAAATTTAAATGGGTAATTATGGTTGCCAACTCCATTGGAAATTTGAATTGAGATTATGACCATATCTTGAGGGAAAGAATTTTTTTGGGGGAAAAAGGGGGGGGGGGATAAAAAGAAATTGTGGGAGGCCAATTTTTTCTCATTTCAGATTTCAGAAATTAAAAAGAATTATTCTTCAAATATTTTTTTTTTTTCAAATTTCAAATATTGAAAAATTTCAAGAAGTAATCTTTAATTGCACAGTATGGCGCATTAGATTTGTAAAATCTTTGATCACATTTATTTATTTGTTATGCCGAATCTAACAGTGTATTTAGATTTTTAATTTTGGGTCCAGTTTTCAAATTGGTCTACATTAATGTCCAAAGGGTCCAAAATTAAACTTTGTTTGATTTTAGCAAAAATTGAATATATGAGGTTCTTTGATATGCTGAATCTAAACATGTATTCATCTTTTTCATGTATTTAGATTTTTGATTTTTGGCCCAGTTTTCAAGTTGGTCCAAATTGGGGTCCAAAATTAAACTTTGTTTGATTTCAACAAAAATTGAATATATGGGGTTCTTTGATATGCTGAATCTAACCATGTATTTAGATTTTTTATTTGTGGACCCCGTTATCTAATTGGTTCATATTGAGGTCAAAAGGGTCCAAAATTAAACTTTGTTTGATTTCATCTAAAATTGAATTATTGGGGTTCTTTGATATTCCAAATCTAACGGTGTATTTAGGTTTTTAAATTTGGGTCCTGTTTTTTAAATTGGTCTACATTGAGGTCCAAAGGGTCCAAAATTAAACTTAGTTTGATTTTGACAAAAATTGAATTCTTGGGGTTCTTTGATTTGCTGAATCTAAACATGTGTTTAGATTTTTGATTATGGGCCCAGTTTTCAAGTTGGTCCAAGGTAGGGTCCAGTATTTAAACTTTGTTTGATTTCAACAAAAATTGAATATATGAGGTTCTTTGATATGCTGAATCTAAACATGTATTTAGATTTTTGATTATGGGCCCAGTTTTCAAGTTGGTCCAAATTGGGGTCCAAAATTAAACTTTGTTTGATTTCAACAAAAATTGAATATATGAGGTTCTTTGATATGCTGAATCTAACCATGTATTTAGATTTTTTATTTATAGGCCCCGCTATCAAATTGGTTCATATTGAGGTCAAAAGGGTCCAAAATTAAACTTTGTTTGATTTCATCGAAAATTGAATTATTGGGGTTCTTTGATATGCCAAATCTATCCGTGTTTTTAGATTTTTAATTTGGGTCCTGTTTTTTAAATTGGTCTTCATTGAGGTCCAAAGGGTCCAAAATTAAACTTAGTTTGATTTTAACAAAAATTGAATTCTTGGGGTTCTTTGATATGCTGAATCTAAACATGTGTTTAGATTTTTGATTATGGGCCCAGTTTTCAAGTTGGTCCAAGTTGGAGTCCAAAATTAAACTTTTTTTGATTTCAACAAAAATTGAATATATGGGGTTCTTTGATATGCTGAATCTAACCATGAATTTAGATTTTTTATTTGTGGGCCCGGCTATCAAATTGGTTCATATTGAGGTCAAAAGGGTCCAAAATTAAACTTTGTTTGATTTCATCAAAAATTGAATTATTAGGGTTCTTTGATATTCCAAATCTAACCGTGTATTTAGATTTTTAATTTTAAGTCCCGTTTTTTAAATTGGTCTACATTAAGGTCCAAAGGGTCCAAAATTAAACTTAGTTTGATTTTAGCAAAAATTGAATTCTTGGGGTTCTTTGATATGCTGAATCTAAACATGTGTTTAGATTTTTGATTATGGGCCCAGTTTTCAAGTTTGTCTAAGTTGGGGTCCAAAATTAAACTTTGTTTGATTTTAACAAAAATTGAATATATGGGGTTATTTGATATGCTGAATCTAACCATGTATTTTGATTTTGGACATTGGACCATAATAGGTAAATTAAAAAAATTCAAGTTCTTAGACCACATTCTTTCTGTGTCAGAAACCTATGCTGTGTCAAATATTTAATAGCAATCCAAATTCAGAGCTGTATCAAGCTTGAATGTTGTGTCCATACTTGCCCCAACTGTTCAGGGTTCGACCTCTGCGGTCGTATCAAGCTGCGCCCCAGCGAAGCATTTTATTTGTTATTATTTTAGATATCATTATAATATCTAATATCTAATACTATTAATTATGATTTTAACCTTATTTTGCATGATTTCCAAAGCATCAGTAAATACAGGTGAGCGAGACCGGCTCTTGAGAGCCTCTAGTTTAATTATTGTCCTTGTACCTTGGATAGATAAAATATGTGCAAAGCGGGGGGACATTGGAACTCTGTTCTTTTATTTTCATATTAAAAGTAGGGGGACTCTTATTGAAATATAAGTGCCATACAAATTATTCTTTTTTATCATATATATTATATATACATAATCAATAAAAAATGACTCAAAACCAAAAGTGTGATTGTAATCACATACCTACGGAACAGTTACTTCCTTCGACAATGGGCAAATACTAATATTTATAGGTGAGGTAACCAAGAGACTTAATATTGAAGGGAATAACAAAAGTATACATTAAAATTTGAACAGTTTCTATGTATATTTTAATAGGTATAGAAGTTCTGTTAAAGACACTACATACCTTGAAGACCATGAACCATTATGTTCTCACAAAGAAAATTATTGAAATCATTGGCATTATATTTGACAGGTAAAATTCTTTGATATATTAGTTTAGAAAATATAAGAAATTTTCAGGAAAATTGCATGATATACTTGATAACATTACTGATTCATTTTTGTGAGTAGGTGACCTTTTCTGTTACTTTAACAAAAAAAAAAAAAGTTTGATAGAATTTTGGTAAGATATACATGTCTGCTTGCCAGTGTTCCCTCACTTTTTAGACCTTTTTATGGTCTTTCCTCTATCACTGAAGACTGTATGTTGACCTCATGATTTGTTTTGTTGTTGGGTTGTCTCATTGACAAATACCCAACATCTTCTTATATTAGCTCACTTGATCTGAAGCGTCAAGTTAGCTTTTCTCGTCACTTGGCACCTGTTGTCAAGCGTTATCTGTTTTTTTACAAAATTCTTCTCTGAAACTACTGGACCAATTAGAATCACAATCATCCTTAGGGTATCTAGTATAAAATGTGTCCTATGATCGCGCCTTACAACCAACAGGGCCCACACAGCTTAAAATAGAATGTCATGTAAAAGTTTTACCCATTACCTTGATGATCTTTTTGGACATTCATTTTAGTCACCATTGTTTGTAAACAGTACAGCTATGAAATCATGTCTAGATATCAATATAAATGTTGTATTTCTCTTTCAGACAACTATCTAAGTCACCATTGTTTGTAAACAGTACCACTCTGAAATTGTGTCTAGATATCATTATAAATGTTGTATTTCTCTTTCAGACAGCCATCTAAGTCACCATTATTTGTAAACAGTACCACTCTGAAATTGTGTCTAGATATCATTATAAATGTTGTATTTCTCTTTCAGACAACTATCTAAGTCACCATTGTTTGTAAACAGTACCACTCTGAAATTGTGTACAGATATCATTTTACGTATTGTATTTCTCTTTCAGACAACTATCTAAGTCACCATTGTTTGTAAACAGTACCACTCTGAAATTGTGTCTAGATATCATTATAAATGTTGTATTTCTCTTTCAGACAGCCATCTAAGTCACCATTATTTGTAAACAGTACCACTCTGAAATTGTGTCTAGATATCATTATAAATGTTGTATTTCTCTTTCAGACAACTATCTAAGTCACCATTGTTTGTAAACAGTACCACTCTGAAATTGTGTACAGATATCATTTTACGTATTGTATTTCTCTTTCAGACAACTATCTAAGTCACCATTGTTTGTAAACAGTACCACTCTGAAATTGTGTCTAGATATCATTATAAATGTTGTATTTCTCTTTCAGACAGCCATCTAAGTCACCATTGTTTGTAAACAGTACCACTCTGAAATTGTGTCTAGATATCATTATAAATGTTGTATTTCTCTTTCAGACAGCCATCTAAGTCACCATTATTTGTAAACAGTACCACTCTGAAATTGTGTACAGATATCATTTTAAGTATTGTATTTCTCTTTCAGACAGCTGTTTAAGTCACCATTGTTCGTAAACAATACCACTCTGAAATTGTGGCTGAATATCATTATAAGTATTGTTCTTTCTCTTTCAGACAGCCATCTAAGTCACCATTGTTTGAAAACAGTACCACTCTGAAATTGTGTCTAGATATCATTATAAATGTTGTATTTCTCTTTCAGACAGCCATCTAAGTCACCATTATTTGTAAACAGTACCACTCTGAAATTGTGTCTAGATATCATTATAAGTATTGTTCTTTCTCTTTCAGACAGCCATCTAAGTCACCATTGTTTGAAAAGTACTACACTGAAATTTTGTCTTGATATCAATATAAGTATTGTATTTCTCTTTCAGACAGCCATCTAAGTCACCATTGTTTGTAAACAGTACCACTCTGAAATTGTGTACAGATATCATTTTAAGTATTGTATTTCTCTTTCTAACAGCCATCTAAGTCACCATTATTTGTAAACAGTACCACTCTGAAATTTTGTCTTAATATCAATATAAGTATTGTATTTCTCTTTCAGACAGCCATCTAAGTCACCATTGTTTGTAATAGGTATAAAACCACTAATTCATAGCCCCATTGCTTTCTATGTTAAATTCTACAATTTCAAGCATTAATGGCTACTTTGTCTTAATTTCAAATATAGTGTCAGTTATTTCATGTCAAAACTTTACCTTATCCTGACTTGTGCTGAAAAATTCAACATACCTTTAATTGCATATTAGAGCGTACTGCTTCCCGGAAGTTTGATAGTACAAAAACAGGTACTTTGATCTGAACAACAGGGCAAATGTGCCCTCGTATTATATTTTTATATACTTTTTTTTGATTATTCAAAAAAAAACTTTCAACAGAGGTTCTACAGTGATCCCATGTCCCCAAGCTTTCATTTGATATCAAAACTATCCAAATATTTCACCTATTGACAAAGATACAGCTATGCGTAGGAACTATTTTGTTTAAAATATGTACTACTTTCTTGTATGTTCTTTCCGACCGGGCCTGAATTAGTGGTTCTATACCTAAACAGTACAACTCTGAAATTGTGTACAGATATCATTTTACGTATTGTATTTCTCTTTCAGACAGCCATCTAAGTCACCATTGTTTGTAAACAGTACCACTCTGAAATTGTGTCTAGATATCATTATAAGTATTGTTGAACATAGTCATCCAGGTGTCTTTGCTGCAGCCTTGAAAATGACAAAAACCTTCTTGAGGTGAGACAAAAAAATGAAATAAAAAATCGTTTGGTACCTGTTTGTATGGCTTACTCTAGTTATTTACAGATCACTTTAAACTGATATGGTTGTCTTATGCAGAGAAGCATGTAATATTAAAAAACAGAAATGTGGTTTTACTGTGTCTTGGTCAGCAAGAAGACATTTCTTGATGTTGGACAGGAAAATATGATGTCAAATGGTTGTCTTATGCAGAGAAGCATGTAATATTAAAAAACAGAAATGTGGTTTTACTGTGTCTTGGTCAGCAAGAAGACATTTCTTGATGTTGGACAGGAAAATATGATGTCAATCTTAGAAGTATCTTTACATTACTTTAAATCCTTCTTTCTTCTGATAAAACCTAAACACCCATAATATTTGTGGCATGTTACATTAGTTTTTGGTAAATTTTTATTTGACCTACAAGAAAAAGAAAATTTCCTTATGAATTCTCATACAGGCTTTGTTTAAAGGAAATTTAAATCATGTAGAATTCACTGTTTATCAAACACAAGATTGACAACCAGGAATTCAAGTAGAAAGCAATGTAAACTTATTGATATAGGATGTCATTTCTCATTAATAATTTTCCAAGTCATATATAGACATTATAAGGTTAAAAAATGTCAAAACTAAAGAATTTGTTCCATGTTAGTGTATATTGTGTATCTTTAAAGTCACATGATTTTCATGAATTTTCTTTTAATGATGAATATATATAACATTTCAGACAAATCTTATACTTTTCAGAAAAGAACACATGTTGAGACCTGTTCCAGTTTCAAATTTGAAGACAATTCTTCAGAAGATGACAGGAAAAGTTCAGATATTTGTATGTGAAACAGAATTATTTGAGAAACAGAAATCTAAAACCGAAGTCAGTGATGTAAGCAGTATGTATTGTGAAGCTATGTTGGCAGCAAGCAGGTTTGTAGTATAAAATGTATTGCTGAACATTATCCATATCATAATATAAAAGGAGATTTCATATCTCTATTCATAAAAAATAGAAAAAATAAATAAAACTTGATTTTTTACTGAAGAAATTTTAAGGATGACTGTTTACATTTATTTAAAATCCAAAGAATGATCAACTCAATGATTATGTAGTAATACCATTATAAAATCTTCACAGTATGTATTTGTATTTTACCTAATAATTTAATTTTGGATGTAACGCGTCTTCTGGTTGGCTGACGTTGTTTTGTTTATCAGCTCATAGACATAATTTTGTCATGTGACCGTGACGTCATCAACGTTTTTTCATGGTTTACTCCGGTTTAAAATGGAATTTAGAATGAAATTATAAGAAATGACTGTAATATTTTTTCTGTCTATTCGAAATAACATAAAAAATGTGGTGCACACTTTAAAATAACCCGCTACGCGAGTTATTCAGTGTGCACCACATTTTTGATGTTATTTCTTCATAGACAGAAAAAATATTACAGTCATTCCTTAAATAAACAAAACAATTACTCTGGATTTATATAATATTTTCATGGATACCAATTTTGTTGGATTGAGGAAAACTCGTATTTTCGTTGATATTTTCTTTTGTTGATTTGAAGAAGCTTGTAAAGAAGCTTTTAGAAAATGAAAACTTTGTTGAAATTTTTAAATTCATGGTTAACCCATACCCATGAAATCCATGAACATTTGTTAACCAGGAATTATAATGAATCCACAGTACTTTATAGATGTTTGTTCAATTTATTCCATCTAATATTAGTTTTGCAATTAAACAATAATTTTATAATTTGTCTCTAATCAGATGGATTTACTTTTCTCCTTAGATTAGTTGTGAATTGTAAGAAAGATCCATCAACATGTATGTCTGCTTTCCTGGCTCCTGATGCTGTGGACAATAATGGATCTACCATAGAAAGTCTGGGAGAACAAGTAGTCACAATACTATCACAGAATACTATCTGTTTAGCTGTGGTAATGTGCTGTTGAGAATGTGTTTAGCTTCCATGCTTTGGCTGTGATAATATATATTTTAGAATACTTTAAGCATCTATTGCATTTTATACTGTCTTTATAGCATAAGATTGTGATGGGTTAAATATGACAATGAAAAATAATACATGTTGGGTAACTGTCACCAATTACTGGGATAATGAAGTGTTATACTGCTTTGAAATTGATTATCTTACGAAGGAGATCTGGGATTACAATCTATTAACAACAATGAATGTGAAAGACTTCTTAAGTAAACCGTGAATCTTTTCTCCAAATAGACTAGTCTGGATTGAACACAATTTAAATTCTAAAATAAGTATTTTTTTCTTCAAATAAATTTTGATTTCTGAAGTATTTTTCAGAGTCTGCTTGATGATAAAGACAGCCCAGACCATTGCTGTTTACTTTTCCAGTTACTAAGCAGTTTGCAAAATTTAAATCAAGAAGAGCACAAAAATATTATATCACAGTTAACTTGTGGAGGATTGTTGTCTAAAGCTGTTAATATACGATGTTCTCTAAGGTATGATAGAAAAGAAAGGATATGGGGAATCCATCCATTCCACAAGATCAGTACATGCACAGCAAAACAAACAAAAAGCAAATGGAACAATGCTTTTATTGCTATTCTTCATCTCAAAGTGACATAAGATTGTGTGACTACTGAGTTTAGTCTAGATTAAGGTATTTTTCTCATGTTATATGGTATGTATTTTGTTTATAAACTCTTGATCCCATTATTATAGAAGCTTTTAATAATACTTGATTGCCATAGTGATTTGAAAATGATTCCTCCTTTTGTCATCTCCACTTGTGCAGCAGCTGACAAACTTTAGGGTTCATCTCTCAGAAGCAGACATTTGGAGTTCTGAAACTGTAAAGCTGAATATCCCACTTGAAATTAAAAGAACCTAGATGTATTGGTTAATTATTTTGATAACATGTCGTGTGCGTTTTTTTTATGGACCCTGGTACATAATGTTTAGAATTTGTATGCTTATTCATTTGGACCAATTCCTTTGTCTTTTAACCAGGTCTATTCAACTTTGAATATACTATGGATTCATTTATTTTCGTGGGTATCAATTTTCGTGGATTGCTAAAAACTTGCATATTCGTGGATATTTGATTTCATGGTTTTGCCAATCTCTGTATACAAAGCCTATTGAAAATATGTTATTCGTTGAACATTTGAATTCGTGGTTCACCTGTACCCACGAATCCCACTAAAATTGGTATCCAACGAAAAATAATGAATTCACAGTAGTGTAAAGTAAATTGATTTTACAGAGTTATTTTTCATTAAATTTTGATTGATTGATTTGTGGTGTGTGTCATGCCACTTTCAGCACTATTGATTAATTTGGGCCGGCCAGATTTTATTGGTGGAGGAAGCTGAAGCCCCTATAGTTATAATGTTTAATTTAACTGTTACCCTTTACATAAATCAATTTCATTGGTTTTTTAATTTTGTGTTTACATGATTGTTTTGCAATATCTAATATTTAAGGCATACCTCCTTTGCAGTCCAATAACTTTTTTGTTTCTGTGTGTAGTACATTTGCTGAAATATTTTATCATTATTTAGACATTTAGTACATATTTATAGAATTCTTGTACAACTAAGTATGTTGCCAATGATTATTAAATTATAATACAGATACATATGTATTAGGATTTTTTTCTCCATGCAGGTTTTAAATGTTTGAATCCATAGAAGGGTTGAAATTCCATTATGTATCTGTATTTCAGGGATTCCTATACAATACTACAGCATGTAGACCCCTGCTTATTAACTTGGTGTCTGTTGTTGTATCAGGAAGAAAATAAAGATGATACTTGTCCTGGAGAATTAGAAATAAGCATAGATAACATATTTGGTAATTATTTTCTCATTTTGTCCACAGTAATTAATATAATTCTTGTAATATGATTTTAAAATAGTAAAATAATGATATGAAATCAATTCAAAGAGGGACTTATAACAGATGTCATTCTCAAATTCATAGTACAAGGTGATATGCAAGAATTTTCAGTAACATATATTAGATGCTTAAAATATAGTAATGTAAAAGACAACAATAAATGGAAAAAAAGAATATACATTTCTTATTGTCTTTGTTGATTTTCAATTGATTTTAATTTTCACCACAGTTGTCTACAAAAATATCACATGAATTGTCTCCCCTTGCTTGACTAGATCACTTGTAACCGTTTCAAACTATGCAGATGGTTTTAAAAATCTAAGGTCAGCTCTCAAACTGAAATAAAGGATTCAAAGATGATTGAGGAAAGATGTTTTATCCCTTTATGAAGATAAGAGAAAATCATCTGAGAGGTTGATCAGAAGAACAGATGATGATTGGAACTACTATTAAAGATTCCCTGTACTTGTTTAAGTTGGTCCAGATGAAAAGTCCAATATGGTTTCAAGAAGCCAAAAAGGGGTCCAATTTTCAAAGAACTCAAGAACTATTGACCCAATAGAAACCAAATTAACCAAATATGTTCCATATGTTATTACTTTGGTTCTGACGAAAACTATTTTTGCTGTTTTGGCTAAATAAATACAGATGAGCAATTCAGGCTCCTCTAGTTGTTATTTAATTTCAGTGAGACTTGATGAAGTGGCCAACTACCTAACTCATTCATGTATGAGTAAAGACACTGTTTTTCTTTACAGTTTTCTACTCTATCACTGCTACAAAAATGATGATATGTAAGTAAAAACCACATTGAACTCGATAATCTACATATAATATTTTTCTTGACAATTATAGAGCTTGACAGCATAAACTTTACATGTTTTAAACAATTTTATTGCTTATCAGTTATTAATAGTTAGCAAAAAATTGTTGCATATTGAAATCACTATTTGTGCTAAATTATATTTTTTGGCTAAATACTTTTGACTACAAGAAAATAGATGAAAAAATGGATATTTTTGAATATCAAGAAGAGATTTTATGTGAATATATTAGTTAAATATACTTGCCTGATACATTTACATTATAGAATACGTTCCGCGTATTAGAATACTCTCATCGCAAACACCCGGGTGATCCGGAATTAAAAAATACCGTGTCCGCTTCCGGGTGTAAACCCCACAAACTATCCTGAGTAGAAATCACCCAGGTAAGAATTAGTTTTAATGTTGCGTTTAATTGATAATATAAATTATCAATCATACAACACAAGAAATTTATGAAGGGGTGGAGGTGGATTCAGGCAAGTATATTTAACTAATATATTCACATAAAATCTCTTCTTGATATTCAAAAATATCCATTTTATGTGAATAAGTTAAATATACTTGCCTGATACATTTACATTATAGAATACTCACTGATTACAAAGCAGTGAATGGTCTTCGGAAGGTGGATAAATTTCTTCTTTAAAATCCATCACCAATAACATCATAACACCAAAAAAACAGTAACTAAACATATATACACATGGTATTTACAACTGTACTAATCATCATTCTGAAATAAAACATATATATTTTATTCTAAAAATTTGTGGGTATCTAAATCCCTCAAATAAAACTTAACAAATGTGGATTCAGATGACCAATCTGCAGCATCCAAAATAGATTGAGTGGATGCCCCTTTATATAATGCCCAACTTGGAGCAATTGCACGAGTGGAATGAGCATTAACTTTTAAATTTTCATCTGAATATGATTCTTTTATTGCTTGAACAATCCAACTAGCAATTGTAACTGTACCTACTTGTTTGTGAGGTTCTTTCATAGCAATAAAAAGTTTGACTTTGTCTGTTAATTGTAACTTCTGTCTAATAACTTTAGTTCGTTCTAAATATACAGAAATGGACCTTTTAGGATCTAATAAAGGTCTATCTTTGAAATGTGGTACATGAATTTTAGCCCCAAAATGACTTTGTCTATCCTGTTTTGCTAAACCATGTCTAATAAAAGTGATACCCTTATCTTGTATCTTCATTGACTCTTGATCAATCCTAAGACTCTGTAAATCACTGCACCTTCTGAAAGTTGTTATTGCAGTAAGAAAAACTGTTTTCAAAGTTAAAAACTTTAGAGGTACATCATTTAAAGGTTCAAAAGGTTGTTTTTCTAAAGCTTTTAAAACAACTTCTAAATTCCATTCTGGAAGTAATTTGACTTTAGGTGGTCTGGAATGGAAAACGCCCTTAATCAGTCTAGAAATGTAAGGATGTTGTCCAACCGGACAATTTTGAACTGGAGGTAGTACCGCTGATAACATTGACCGATAACCAGATATTGTACGATATTGCAACCCTGATTCAAATAAAAATGCTAAAAAATCAGCAACTTGATTCAAAGTACCGGTAGCTGTATAGGGATCAATTTGTGTTGTATCACACCAACTACAGTACGTTTCGAATTTGGCAGAATAATCTTTCTGCGTTCCTGCTCGCCAAGATGCATTGAGCAGGGTTCTAGCTGACTTTGAAAAGCCCTCTGTTTCGAAATTTCGGTCGAGAGAAGCCATGCATTTAGACTTAACATCTGAGGATTTGGATGATAAATCTTTGTCTTGGGTTGACTAAACAGATTTTCTAACATTGGCAATCTTATTGGAAGTGCTACCAATAATTCCAAAATCTCTGGATACCAAACCCTCCTTGGCCATTGGGGAGCAATTAGGATAATCTGACACTGGAACTGCCTCATATATTTTAATATCTTCGGTATCAGACAAATTGGAGGAAATATGTAAGCATACATGTTCTCCCATGAAATCGTTAGAGCATCCACTGCCAAAGCATTTGGATGTGGAATCCATGTACAGAAAATTTCCATCTGTCTGTTCTCCCATGATGCAAAGAGATCTATCAGAGGACTCCCCCATTGAACAAAAATTTGATTCACCACTGTGTTGTTCAAAGTCCATTCTGTTGGTCGAATTCTTACTCGGCTCAACTGATCTGCCAAAATGTTTTTCTTTCCCATAATGTGGGCTGCCTTCAAAACAATGTTGTTTTGGATTGCTAATTGCCATAGTTCCCATGTCAAATAACAGAGATTTGGAGACTTTGTCCCCCCTTGGCGATTGATATACTGTACTACACTGGTATTGTCGCATCTGACTAAAACCCAATTGTTTTTCAGGTGATTCAGAAAATGTTTCAGTGTCAAAATCACAGCTTTCATTTCTAAACAATTTATGTGCCAAGATTTTTGAGTTGCTGTCCATTCCCCTTGAAAAATCTGGTTCTGGGAAATATAACCCCCAAAACCGCTTTTCGAAGCATCTGTCGTGATTGTAGCAGTGGTATTTGGACAAACTAAAAATCGGCCTTTCTGCGTGTTGGCTGAATTTTTCCACCATAAAAGATGGGATTTTAGATGTTGTGTAAATGGGATCATTGGATTCCAAAAACTCAAAAGATGTAACTGAATGGGTCTCATGTAAAGACAAGCATTTGGAATCAATTCGATGCAAGGCGCCATTGTGCCTAGAATTTTCAAAAAATCCAAAGCTGTTGATTGACCTTGAAACATGTTCTGAATCAACATATGTAATTTTTGTGTTCTCTCCCTTGTTGGGAATACTAAACCCTTGTCCAAATGAAATACTCCACCGAGGTAAGTGATTTCCTGACTTGGAATAAGAGTTGATTTCTCTTTGTTTATGATGAAACCTAGTGAAACTATCAGATTTAGACATTTCTGTCGATCTTGTAACAACTGATTCTTGTCTTGATTTACTATTAACCAGTCGTCTAGATAAATCGCTGGTCTGATGTTTTGAGTTCTTAGATAAGCTGCCACTACTGATACAACTTTTGTAAATACTCTTGGAGCACAAGTTGGACCAAAGCACATTGCTTTCCACTGATAACTCTGATTTTGTACATAAAATCTCATGTATTTTCTGTGATTTGGACATATTTGGAGATGAAAATATGTAGAGAAATTGCCCAATCTTTCAGTTTCACTAAGTTTATCACTTTTTGCATTGTGTCCATTTTGAAGTGTATTTTCTTCAAATAACCGTTGAGAGGTCTTAAATTTGTTACCATTCTTAGTTTCCCGTTTTTCTTGGGAACTAGAAATAATGTACTGTAAAAACCTCCTAGAGCTTGAGGATTGTGTACTTTTTCTATAACATCTTTTTCCAGCAAAGTATTTATTTCTTCCATGAAAATATCCAAATTTTGTTGAAAAATTATTGTTTTCTTTATACCTGTCCAAGACGGTTTCTGAATAAATTCCATTTTGTACCCTTCTTTTATCATTGAAAGAACCCATTTGTCTGTTGTAATTTGTTCCCAATTTTGAAGAAATTTTGTCAAGCGACCCCCTACTGGAATTTCTGGACACATAACTAGACTTACTTTTGAGTCAACTATCATTCCGTTTGGGGATCCGAAAGGAACCCCAGGAACTCTTTGTAGTTGTCTTGCCGACTTTAAAGTCTTTCTTGTTCCCCTCTTGTCGGTTAGAACCTCCAGCTTTATCTTTAGCACTGTTATAACTATTATAAGTTGAAACAGGTTTCCTATTGTTATTAGAGGTATAACCACCGGAAGTATTCTGAAATCATGTAGGTCTAGCACCTTGATCAGAAAATCTAGCTGACTTGTTTGAAGATAATCTAGAATCTTCAAACTTCCTCTTTTTACTAAACTCTGGCAAAAGATCGCTTAATTGATCTTTCTGTTCTTTCCTTTTCTCTAAACTAATTTCAAGCCCTTTACCGAAGACTCCCTCTTCAGATAAAGGCAAATACTGACATCTTGAACTCAAATCCTAAATATTTGATAAACCTGAATCATGAGCAGCAGCTTTGCGGCGTATAAGATGAAAAAATGCACCAGATCGACCAGCTTGGTCTAATGATTTAGTAGACATAGCAAAAATGTCTTTCACCGTCTGACATGCTGTACTTTTGTCAACATCATCTTCTTCAAGATCTTTCAATAAAGATCCTAGTGCCTGTTACTGTATAGCATAGAAATTATGTTCATTCTTGATGCTAGTTGACCCTGAAAACTGAGTTTCTCAATTTGCTTGTAAGGTTGACTATATAATTGTCTATGATTATCCCAAGACCTAATTAATTTTTGACCATGAGTTTGTCTGATCATAGGTTCCAATAAATCATCAAGTTTAGGCACCTGTAAAAAGCTTGCTGAATCATCATTAATTGGAAAACAAATTTTGTATTCCTCTTTGTATGCAGATAGATGTTCTGGGATCTTACAACGCCAAGAACTCTCTAATATTTTAACCTGTGCTTGGTCTAAAATAAGTCCTACTGAAGACTTTTCTTTGCTCAGATCTTCACTAAATATTTGTGCCAAAACATTAGTTGTTGTCTGCCTCTCATCAGACTTAACTTTTTCAAGATCCTGTGCCTGTACCTGTTCATTACGTACATTTACATGCTTCAAAAATCTATCACCTTTTGACATTTGATTAGTGTTCCCTCTAACTGGACTGTTTCCAGACACACTATAATCATCATCATCTGAATGAATATCTAATTCATTACGTTCTCTATCACCTATACTGATAGATATTTCTGAACGCACATCTAGATTTCTGTTTCTAGAAACATGTGGAGACCCCAAATCTTGATCCAAGTTCGGTTCTAGACTGACAAGTGGTGGTCTACGCTCCCCAGATGGGACGTTATCCACATTGTGACCATCAGATCCGGGCAAAGCAAAACTTTCCCTACTCTGATCATTGTCAACAGAATTGGCAAATAACTGAAAGAGTCTATCCAACTTCACATTAAAGTTATTTTCCATATTTGTCAATTTCTCATCGTAAACAGCCTGTAACGCATCTTTCTTAGATGTACGTTTCTTTTTACTTACTTTCTCCAAACTAGAAGTTCTAGCACTGGAATTACTACAAGACTTTTTCTTGAGTTTGTCACCTGCAGTATCGGCGGACAAAAGAGAAAACTCTGGCGCCTCTCTGCTGTCAGAATCAAGCCTGTCATCATCGCCATCCATAATTACGATATATAAATATGAAATAACTACCAACACAGACCAAAAGTCGAATAGATAGCGACGAAGTTTTAAACTATTACTAATTATAAGAATTGAATGAGAGCATCCGTTCAATTCAACGCAAAAATTAAAACTAATTCTTACCTGGGTGATTTCTACTCAGGATAGTTTGTGGGGTTTACACCCGGAAGCGGATACGGTATTATTAAATTCCGGATCACCCGGGTGTTTGCGATGAGAGTATTCTAATACGCGGAACTTATTCTATAATGTAAATGTATCAGGCAAGTATATTTGACTTATTCACATAAAAGTTACATTTTTGACTTTCAATACAGTTTTTGTTAATCCTGGAGCAAATGTCATGATGCAAGAAACTGAATGACATGAGTATCTTTCAATAATTTAAGAGTTAATTTTCATTCTGTTATTTTTGCATTATTTGATAAACGTACTATTGGTATGTTGTGTTTGTAATGAAATTTGATTTATCAATGATTCTAGTAACAAAGAAATCTTTCTAAGAAGAATTATTCAAATACTGTTTTATTAAAGTGGCACTTACTAATTTTCTGTTCTAACGTTTGTCTTTATTTTAGAATCCTCCCAAGTGACGAATTGATGTTTGTTCTAGACACATTTTCTAAGGACTATGACAATGCAGCAGAATTATCTCCCTTTGTAAAGAAACAATTTGTATTTCTGTGGGCTGTAAGTAGGATTTTATCTTTATTCAAAAAGGATTAAACAAGCTAAGATCTTTTTGTAATTGTACATTTTTTATAATTTTTTTATGATACAATTGTTAAAAAATTGCTTTCTTGTGTATGTTTTATTATTTACCAATTTAGGTATCTAAGCACTCATGCAGTCTGATATGAGAAAATGATAATGGCTGTATTTGTTATCTGTTTAAGATGTAAGCAATCAGACATAACAAAAATTATGAGCTTCAATCTTTTATAAATTTTCCTAAAAAGTCATAATAGAAATACAAATATTTGACCGTAATAATAGAAAATATTGCATCTTATCAAATATTATATGGAATCTATTTACATGATTATATTTGGTTGTCAGCCTTCAAAAAAAAATCTTATACTTTAGAATCAACCATTATAGAATCGGTTGCTCGTCTGGCCCTAAGGGTAAGGTGAGCAATTGTCATTACTTGAAGTATGTCATATGTATACTTTTCACATTTTCATCTTTTTATTTAAAACCACTTTTCCAATATTGGCCAAACTTTGAGTGGTGTATGAAAGTCTTCTACAAATTTTCCTCATTTGGTTTAGACAGAATAAAATATATGGCCACCAAAGGAATATTTGATTCTGAGTGGCTGCTTTTGAAATATCTTCTCCTCTAAAGCTTCTTTTCAAGATGTTCTGAACATTAAGAGAGTAGATATTGGAAGACCCTCTACAATGAATTTTATCATGTTTTTATTGGATGACAAACAAGGTGCTGCAGTAGTGGTACTTATTGTATACAAAATCAGACTTTTGTATTTCAAACTATCTTGCTAATAACAATACTTGGAATTATTTTGTTTGATAGCTCCTCTATGAACCTCTTAATTTGATATCATTTGTATGAAAAAGGGTAAGCAGAAAATTCAGTAGAGTCATAAAATTATACATATAGTTTTGTTGACTTATGTGTTTGATGTGGCCTTCCAACTTGTTTCATTAGAGCACCACTGATGAAGCTTATGTAGAGGATACGTAGGACTGGCGTCACAAATTCTAAGCCTGGTACCACTGATGAAGCTTATGTAGAGGATACATAGGACTGGGGTCACAAATTCTAAGCCTGGTACCACTGATGAAGCTTATGTAGAGGATACGTAGGACTGGCGTCACAAATTCTAAGCCTGGTACCACTGATGAAGCTTATGTAGAGGATACGTAGGACTGGCGTCACAAATTCTAAGCCTGGTACCACTGATGAAGCTTATGTAGAGGATAAGTAGGACTGGCGTCACAAATTCTAAACCTGGTACCACTGATGAAACTTATGTAGAGGATACGTAGGACTGGTGTCACAGATTCTAAGCCTGGTTCCACTGATGAAGCTTATGTAGAGGATACTTAGGACTGGCATCACAAATTCTAAGCCTGGTACCACTGATGAAACTTATGTAGAAGATACGTAGGACTGGCGTCACAAATTCTAAGCCTGGTACCACTGATGAAGCTTATGTAGATGATACGTAGGACTGGCATCACAAATTATAAGCCTGGTACCACTGATGAAGCTTATGTAGAGGATACGTAGAACTGGCGTCACAAATTCTAAGCCTGGTACCACTGGTGAAGCTTATGTAGAGGATACATAGGACTGGCGTCACAAATTATAAGCCTGGTTCCACTGATGAAGCTTATGTAGAGGATACGTAGGACTGGCGTCACAAATTCTAAGCCTGGTACCACTGATGAAGCTTATGTAGAGGATACGTAGGACTGGCGTCACAAATTCTAAGCCTGGTACCACTGATGAAGCTTATGTAGAGGATAAGTAGGACTGGCGTCACAAATTCTAAACCTGGTACCACTGATGAAACTTATGTAGAGGATACGTAGGACTGGTGTCACAGATTCTAAGCCTGGTTCCACTGATGAAGCTTATGTAGAGGATACTTAGGACTGGCATCACAAATTCTAAGCCTGGTACCACTGATGAAACTTATGTAGAAGATACGTAGGACTGGCGTCACAAATTCTAAGCCTGGTACCACTGATGAAGCTTATGTAGATGATACGTAGGACTGGCATCACAAATTATAAGCCTGGTACCACTGATGAAGCTTATGTAGAGGATACGTAGAACTGGCGTCACAAATTCTAAGCCTGGTACCACTGGTGAAGCTTATGTAGAGGATACATAGGACTGGCGTCACAAATTATAAGCCTGGTTCCACTGATGAAGCTTATGTAGAGGATACGTAGGACTGGCGTCACAAATTCTAAGCCTGGTACCACTGATGAAGCTTATGTAGAGGATACGTAGGACTGGCGTCACAAATTGTAAGCCTGGTACCACTCATGAAGCTTATGTAGATGATACGTAGGACTGGCATCACAAATTATAAGCCTGGTTCCACTGATGAAGCTTATGTAGAGGATACGTAGGACTAGCGTCACAAATTCTAAGCCTGGTACCACTGATGAAGCTTATGTAGAGGATACGTAGGACTGGCGTCACAAATTTTAAGCCTGGTACCACTGATGAAGCTTATGTAGAGGATACGTAGGACTGGCGTCACAAATTTTAAGCCTGGTACCACTGATGAAGCTTATGTAGATGATACGTAGGACTGGCATCACAAATTCTAAGCCTGGTACCACTGATGAAGCTTATGTAGATGATACGTAGGACCGGCGTCACAAATTCTAAGCCTGGTACCACTGATGAAGCTTATGTAGATGATACGTAGGACTGGCGTCACAAATTATAAGCCTGGTACCTTTGATGAGTTTTATGTAGAATATAGCTAGACTTAAGTATCTTTATGAAGCAACTTTTTATTATTATTTCAGATGCTAACCTGTATGACAGAAAATGTTGTTGGGCTTCCTACTAAAGGTAATATTTCAGTCTGTAATTGTTTTCATTGGTATTTCACATTTGTGTGGAATGAAACTTATAACTCATGAATAAAATGGGAATTTTTACTCTGTTCTGTATAACCCAGTTAGCAGTATGTCTTATGAACAATTCCTTTGAATATTTATTTTAATCCTCAACAGAATGGATGTTATACCTCAACTCAACTGACTTTTTCCCTTAATCAATAGACCATGGTGTACCTTGCAATGACCTTGTCCGTTTTTTTGTTTGTCAGTTCATCCTTTTGTTAGTCTGCCTAACTTTTTTTATATGTTTAGCTTCTGTATCTGTATTAAAGTATGATTTTATATTTGATCTTGGTGACTTTATAAAATTGAATTGTTCTGTGTAAATAATTTTCTGGGTCTGCTAGTAAGTCACCTCCTGTTTTTATTTTACTTGCATGGACATTTTAAAAATATTTGATAACCAGTGGTGGCCATGCATATACTTTGCCTGGTATGACTTTTGCATCCTCTTGTTATTTAATTGTTTTTACTATTAAAATAATGATACACTAATTGAAATTATTAAATGTACATTATCCTGATGAACCACACAGAGGTATAAACATTTATGAAGACATGATCTTTTTAACACTGATGATAAACACCAGTGGCGGATCCAGAATTTTTCATAAGTGGGGGCCCACTGACTGCCTAAGAGGGGGCCCGCTCCAGTCATGCTTCAGTGATTCCCTATATAATCAACCAAATTTTTCCCAAAAAAGGGGGGGCCTGGGCCCCCTGAAAAACCCTCTAAATCCGCCTCTGAACACACAAAATAGTGATTTAGTTCTACTCGAATTGCTTCCCCTCAGATGTATGCTATTTCTATTTTTAATAGTAAATTAGATTTAAAGAATTTTTACCATTATTGACTATAATGTGGCTGAAATTATCTAAAGATAAATAGATAAAAATTGAAATAAAAATTTTAAAAAGATAGTGTGGTCTATATTTTGAAAGTTCTGATCTTATTCAATACTTAGTATAATCATTTTGAAATTAACATTTAGTCGAATGTTTCTCTTATAAATTATATACTCACATGTGTAAGGTGGGGTGATAATATTAGTGCATGGTGAAAGAACCAGTCAGGTTCATGTCCAGGCTCTGTGCTGGTATTATTGCTCCACATTGTTTGGTATAACTAGAGTCCTCTAGTTTAAAAGGTCACTTGTGTTGCTATGATTGGCATTTCAAATATATATATTAAGAGTAGACCAGAGTACCTTTTTGCTTGTTGAAAAAAGCATGGACATCATACTCTCAGAGATCATAATATATGTATGAGTGGGGTTTTCAGGTGATCCTTGTGACTTGATGTCACCTATGAAAGGACCTGTGACGTTTAAAAAGGTTCAAAACCATTTTATTTCAATGTTTTATTCGCTTAAAAGTGACCCTGGTGACCTGAGACGGTTTTTGAAACGTGATCTTGTGACCTGAGAGAGGTGCCCTACTGGAGCAATTCAACAAACAGCTTCAATTTACTGTTTACATTTCTTGTTAATCTTATACTGTCTAAATAGATTATAACACTTTTTAAAAAAACTTAAAAAAGAAATATAGTGAGGTGTTATGCCAAAATAGAAACCTTTTATGGGAAGAAACATATTTTAAGTTATTTGGCATAAGCTTTGATGTTAATCTTGATAGAAATGTAAAAATGAATTATGATAAAAAAAATGGTACAAATAAAATGTGTAATTAAACAGTGGTTAAAATGAAATCTTACTGTTATTGGTAGAATTACTGTGGTGAGACATTGATATTGCCTATTTTGAATCATTTGTCTGTGGTGAAGACATTGATATTGCCTATTTTGAATCATTTGTTTATATCCTTACCAAATCCAAGTGAAGATATTTTAAAAAAAGTTATTGAACTTATGTACAATTTTATATGGAGTTCACCAATCAATAGAATAAAGAGAGATGTTTTACAAAATGATATTGATGATGGTAGAAATGTAGAAATTGAAAAATTTTATGGTTGTGGAAGTGTATGTATACAAAGATTACAACAAAATATCAAAAATAAGATGTTCTGAAAGCATGGCAACTTCTCGGCAAAAGATGAATATGACAGTTGGGAATGCCTTCTTTTTAGTCCAATTTGGCTTAACAATAACATAAAAGTGGAAAATAAACCTATTTTTTATAAAGATTGGTTTGAAAAAGGTATAAGATTTGTAAATGAAGATGGGACTTTTTTCTCTCTTCAAAAATTAGAAGAAATATATCAGATAAATGTGAATTTCATGAGATATAATAGTACATCAAGCATCAAAATCATTTGTTGGAAAAAATCAAAAATTAGAACTACCTTTAATTCCATCCGCTATTAAAAGACTTGTTTAAAGTTCAAAAGGATCTAAAGATATTTATATTGTTTTGAATAAAAATAAAAGTGTTCCCACTAGTCAGTTAAGATGGACCTAAAATTTTGGCTTTGATAAAAATCATTGGAAAGAATTTATAAACTGCTATTTGTTGTCACAAAAAATACCAAGCTACAGTGGCTGCAGTATAGATTCAATCATCGAATCTTAGCTACAAACAAATTTCTTCATAAAATTAAGATTTATGATAATCCAAATTGTCCATTTTGTAATAGAGAAATTGAAACATTAGAACATTTATTTTGGAATTGTGATCATACACAGATATTATTAGAACAGATTGAAAATTGGTTTCTGACCAATGGAATTAGTGTACTTTTTACAAAAGATTTTGTTTGTTTGGTAACATTGCAAAAATATCAAAAGGCAATGCAGAAAATACTCTTTTTCTTATCATAAAACAATATATTTATAATTACAGATGTTTTAAAAAAAACCTATCAATATACTTAGTAAAATAGAAGATGAAATATTTGTATGCAATTGATAAAAATATTGCTATGAAAAACAAAAGTGAATATCAGTTTCACAGAGAATGATAAATTACTTAGTTAAAGTATATATTTCTACTGCTATAAACGAAAATGCAGGATTTCCTTTACTGAATTATAATTCAATTTCCAGATGAATTTATATTGTAAACTCACCACACTTTTCTCTCTCTCTCGCTCTTCTCTCTCTGCTGTTCAGACTGTTTATATACATATATTTAGAAGAAAAAAAAGCTTCATAAGAAAAATGTATTGATTAGATAATATTAATAGATTTATATATCATATATTGCTATTATATTTGTGTATATTATATGCTGTAAATTGGAAGTTATAAATAATAAAAATAAAAAAAAAAAAAAAAAAAATATAGTTTTTGTTAAATTGCATATCATTTAATTATCAATGAAAGTTCTGTATATTTTTTAAAAAAGAGAAAAGAAATGAAATACTTTTAGACAATTGTTCAAAAACGGAAATTATTTCCTATCAGATCTGTGACTTTTTCCCCTACATTTATCAAATGTGTGACTTTTTCCCTACCAAATTTGTGACTTTTTTTCTGTTTACTTAGTAGGAACATTAAGTTTGGCAAGGTTTTACAGCGGTTTTCGTCCAATATTTTTCTTATTTTACCTTCTCAAAATAGGAAGAATTTGGTGTGGATTTCTATATTTGAAATGACACTGTGAAAAATATTCTATACTTTATACACCTTAATCTGATACAGTGAAATCCAAAGTCTCATATTGAGATTTACACTTACGAGCATTTCACCATTTTTGTAATTTTGAAAATACTTGAGAATACAAGCCTTTTTATTAATTTTAAATTGACGATATATTGAATCACAATATGTGTCAGTGGCACATTAACTTAGTTTATTTGACATTAAACATCCAAGAGGAAATGGTGGTGCTGATTTGTATATATTAATTGTATTAGCATACCACCTAATGCCACTGGCCAATATGCTGAATATTTTATATTAACAAACTAAACACTTTCTTTAACAGGATAAACATTAAGTGCCAATCTGCTTGAGAATCAGACAGTGTTGAAAACATTACAAACAAAAACCTGCTCAAGTTTACATTAATTTAAGTTTCAAAATGTATAATGGTGCACAAATAATTCCTGTTTTGGTATTTCAAGATATAAATTGGTTGAAATGCACTGGAAATTAACAATTAAGGGGAGAAAACTCCGTAATTTGCTAACGTTCTAACCAAACTTTATCTAGAGATTTCTCACATTACCAGACTTACAGAAACAAAAGACCTACCATTTCTAACTCAGGATGGTAAGGTCAATGGGTTTTTTCAACCATATTTTGAAATTCTTCTAAATTGCCTGATTTTTACAAAGACTGGCACTTAATAATATGGTAGTTTTTGCTTTTTATTTATTTTTGTTGATATTATTAGGTCTATTTACAGAATAATCTATCAAGTAATTAACATTTCGCAAAATAATAATATGCATATAAACAAATATTTTAATAGTAAGATTGAAATCCTTGATAAGAAATATAAATGATAATTTATTAATCTAACATTAGATAAGTATTACTAATAAACCAAGTTATACTATCATTTTGTTCACATATTTCTATAAAATTTACAATCTAAGTTAGAATTATCTGTTCACTTATTACTAGGAATTGTTAACAATATCCTAATTTTGTAAAATGCTCTTTTGAGTTCTTTTTGGTCCTTTTCAGTTCTTCTCTTTAAGGTTCATGTGGACCCTTATAATGGCTAAAATGGCTGCATTTTCACCTCAAAATATAACTTAACTTGAATATAAACAAACCTGAGTATCTGGAAAAATTTTAAGGCATAGCATGCCCTAGATAAATAAAATTCAAACACATTTTATGTTTTAGAAAATTAAAAACTTAATTGGATTTTGCAGCACACTTTTATTCATACCTACAGAAGGTGCCAAAATAAACAATGTAGGTAATAATTGAAGTGAACTGTAATGATTGAAATGGACTATAGAGGGAAAATAGATACCTGACAGTATTTGGTAATTTAAACTGTGTCACTGAGTGGACCATATCAAGTGAAATTGTTTGTTAATTTTATCATCTTCTGCAGGGACGAAAAAAAGTGCACTGCAAAATCCAGTTAAGTTTTTAATTTCTAAAACTATAAAATGCATTTGAATTTTATTTATCTTGGTCATGCTATGTCTTAAAACTTTTCCAGATACATAGGTTTCTGTAATCAGAGTAAATTTTGAGGTGAAAACGCAGCCATTTTTAGCCAAAGGGTCCACATGAACCTTAAATCTTCTGTCTTTTCTGTAAATCAATTGAACATTTTATTACTCATTTACTGCACATTTTGAGTACACAATTTTTGTTAGTGGAAATGTACATTATTCTGATGATTTACCACACAATTACAGAGGTGTTATGATCTTCATTTTTTAAACTTCAGAATAATAATGATGAAAAATACCAAAAAAAGTTATTTTTTTCTACTAGAGTTGCTTCCCCTTTGATACTATTTTATTTTGAAAAATGAATTGACTTGAATAATATTTACCATTATGGATTATATAGGAACTGAAATTATCTAAAGATAAATAGAATTAAAAAAAAATAATAATTTTACAAATATAGTTTGATCTATAATTTGAAAGTTTAGTTTTATTTAATACTTTGTATCACCAATTGGAAAATATCATTTAGATGAAATGAACTTTCCATAATAACTTACTCACTAGTGTAAGGTGGTGCGATAATAACAGAGAAAGCTGGAATACCAGCATTCGTTACAATATAGAACTGGAGAGTCCGTTCTCTTGTGCTGGTATTATTGCACCACATTATTTGGTACAACTAGAGTCTTCTAGTTTTAAAGTAAATTCTGTTATACATAGTACAAATTTAAAGTTTTTCCTGTTGTATAACACACCGAGGGGCGTCAGGATTGTTCAAATGAAAGACTGACAGTATCCAATATCTGACTCATATACCGTCAAAAATGATTATTTTCTGCAAAAATTTGCGGGAAATTGTATCACATTAAAGTGGGATATATCATATTCTTTTCTCATGCATTTAGGTACGGGTATACAACACCCAACAGTTCAATTAACAGGTGAATTAAAACTCATTAATCTAGATATAAACAATAGTAGTTACTGACCAGTTCAGTCAAAATTTGACTGTAATAAAATGGAGAAACAAGTAAATCAATTGTACTTGATAAGTAATTATTTATATTACCTTCATAAAAGGGGATGTTATGTTTTTCTTCTCTCCGATTTTATGACATTTTTACAGAGAAAAACTAACTCTTTTTTCAACAATGTAAATGGAACTTATTTTCTCTTTTTTTACGCCTGTCTTTAAAGATGGACGTACTAGGGTATATGTCCGTCTGTCCAAGCGTCAACACTTTGGACAAAATCTCACTAATGCATTAACTCACTTATGCTTTCACCAATTTTCTTGAAACTTTGGTGAATTGTTAATATCTATTGACGTAAGCTCCTTTTTGATCTTTATAGATTTTAGATTATAAGTTTCCAAGTTGTGGGAATTTGTTCATAACAAAATGGGGGATTTTCCAGTTTTTTTACTATTACTCAAAAATGCTTTGAGAAATTTTCATGAAACTTTGGTAAATTATTTATATATATTTCCATAAGTGGCCTTTTGATTTTTTAAAATTTCTGATTTTACTTTTCGGAGTATTGGGACTTTATTCATTAAAAAGGGGGGATTTTACAGTTTTCAGACAATAACTTAAAAATGCTTTGAGCAGTTTTCATGAAATTTTGGTGTCAGACTTGTTTATATCTATTTAAATAAGCTCCCTTTTGTTTTATATAAATTTCTGATATGACATTGTGGAGTTATGGAACTTTAATCGTTGAAAAATCAAGGCCACAAACTAAGTTAAACTTGCGGTAGCCTTAATAGTTCCAAATTATTCATGTTTTGTGTCAATGGGTACCACTGTGTGCATGTCTTTTTTTTTTGGTGGGGGGGGGGGGGGGGGGGGGGGGGGGGGGGTGGGGGGTGGGGGGGGATCTATTTGAGCAGTATTTCTAGTTGATCATATAAATTCATTTAAAGCATAAAGACAAGCTAAAAAGGCAACAGGTCATTATTTTATGCATTGAAGCACTTTTCATTAAAACTAGGTATCGCCCAGGTTGTTTCTTTAAGGGAATGACCTATCGTTCTGAAATTAAATAACACCATATGGGTATATAAAGGAGGTGATTTTAATATATATACTATAACAAAGCAAGCCAAAGTACTACAACATTACTTATTGAGAAAAATGTGGACTTCATACATTATTTTTAACTGTTTCATTGAAGCAATAGCAGGTCTAGTAACGGTTTGATCAACTCAGTTGTCTGTCTGAAAGACCTTCGGTTGAAAACTTTCGTCAAAGCTTCGCTTGCCTTCTATGAAAGGGAACAATTTAATATTTGGTCTGCAGCTTGATAATGTTGTTACAAGTACACGATTTTTACGTCTGCTGTGTAGCCACTTCCTGTTTGAAATTTTACACACTTATTGTATAAGGAAAATATTTGTCAAACTTGTCTTGGCTTCTGTCAAGGGGAATGGTTTACAGCACAATGACTTGAGTGTGTAGGTAAAGGTGATATCTTTGGTAAGCTTGATTGCTAGCTGAACAACGAAACCATTACAAGTAAAGGTACCACCTTCATTTGGGCGGAGTCAATTATTATAGTTAAGTAGAGAACCAACTGAAAGTAATGACTGCATTAAAATTTTAAAACCAGTTTAGAAATATGTTTACAATCTAAATTTAAAATATAGTGTACACCATAAGCTAATTCACAAGCATGTTGTAGGTGTGTTTGATTTGTCAATTTCATTTTAATCAAAACAATACAATACCATTTTTACAAAAGCATGGTGAGAGGAACATCTCAAAAATTTGACCTGACTAAGTTTAATTTTACACCTTCCACTCCCCCCAAAAATACACTGCAAAATCAAAGATAATGATATTCTTATTATAATATATATATATATAAACATATATAATAAGGATTTATTTAATATATATTTTTTTATACTACCGCAAAAAAATTTTTGGGATCGTATAATGGTATGATGTTGTCGTTGTCTGCGTCTGCGTTGTCGTCAAAAGACACATTGGTTTCCAGACAATAACTTTAGTTTAAGTGAATGGATCTCTATGAAATTTTTTAAGAAGGTTCAATACCACAAAAGGAAGGTTGGGATTGATTTTGGGGATGATGGTCCCAACCGTTTAGGAATTAGGGGCCCAAAAAGGGGCCCAAAACAAGCATTTTTCTAGTTTCAGCATAATAACTTGTGTATAAGTATTTCGATTGCTCTGAAATTGTACCACAATGTTTAATATCACAAGTAGAAGGTTGGGATTCATTTTAGGGGTTATTGGGGCCTACAGTTTAGGAATTAAGGGCTAAAAAGGGGCCAAAAACAAGCATTTTTCTAGTTTCCAGACAATAACTTATATGTAAGTGTATGGATCTCTCTGACATTGTACCACAAGATTCCATATAACAAAGGGAAGGCTGGGATTGAGTTTGGGGTTAATGCCCCAAACATGTCGGAATTAGGTGCCAAAAACAAGCATTTTTCTAGTTTCCAGACAATAACTTGTGTGTAAGTGTACGGATCTCTCTGAAATTGTACTACAAGGTTCCATACTACAAAGGAAAGGCTGGGATTGAGTTTTGGGGTTATTACTCCAAGGGGGGTTTCAAAAAGTTGGCGGGGGGGGGGGGAACAAAAATTAACTTTTTTATAAAAGCACAGGTGAAGACTTGGTAAACAATTTAAGCATGATATTGTCAACACTGCAATGTAAAAGATGTTAATGCAAGGGTGTTTACTAGGTTTACAATTTAAACAAGATGTTGACAAGATATTCACATCCCAATGTCGACAATGTTAACATCAGGATGTAGACAAGGTATTAGATATAAACACAATGTTCAGACACATCTACGATATGAAATGATGTTGACACAAGGGTGTAGATTCGGTAAACAATATAACACTTGGTTGACATGATGTAGTCATAAATCACAATGTTGACGAAGTGAACAATATAAAAACAAGGGTATATAATCAGTTTAGAATAGACACATGATGTTAATACGATATTGTCTACATCCCGATTTTGACGATATTAACGTTGTAAAATGTAAACACAAAGACTCAGTAACTAATTTAAAAATGACTTTGACAAGAATTGTTAAAGCTGGGATATCGTTCGTGAGCAATAGCTCATAGTTCAACTTGTTTGATATATTTCAGGATTACAGACTGTTGTCAAGTTGATAGACAGCTGTCCATCATCAGTTTGGTATACACATCATCCTGCTGTATTAAACTGGTCCTTTAAAGATTCTCGGATAACAAAGATCTGTGGTCAGAATGTTGTAAGTTAGGAGAAAGGTTTATATGGGAAGCATGTTTTCCATATTGGATGATTGTGCTTAAGATTTGACACCATTAAGGTATATCTCCAAAAACAAGAAGAAATATATATATATAGACACAAGTCTATTTTTATCCTTACTTTTTTTCTTAGAGATACAAGAAAAAAGGGAAATAGAGTGGGTATACACTTAATTATCTCCAAAAAGGGGAATGTAAAATATTTTTTTAATTGATACGGGCAATTATTTGGAAAATCTTCCATCAGGATGTCAGAAATTAATGTTTCTATGACTGTTCAATGAAAACTCAAAAAAAAAACAAAGGAGTAATATGAACACCCATAAAATATTGCAAAGTAACAGCTATCATGTAATATAGCAAGCATATATCAAAAGAATATCCCTTAATTATAAAGATTTACATCTATGGAAGTAATTTTGCAGAAAATTATTTAACACTTGTATAATCTAGGATATAGACATAAATTTCACATTTCAGCTATCACAATGGTTAGATGTGATTTCCTTAAAAGAGGGTACTGAGCATGATGTAAATAATGATATAACTACATTGTATCACATGTTTACAGATGAGGACTTCATATCTATTCTTCTGGTATGTTGCACATATATTGTCTTTATTTTATTGAAATTAGTGTGGATATATATTTTTCAAATTGAACGTACCGGTAAGCTATTATTTCTAATAAGTTGTTTCTATTATATTGTTGAAACAGAGTATATCATCAAACCTTTATTTGAAGAAAAAAATGGCATATTTGAAACAGCTGTAACAAAATCTTGGATTTGAAGTTTTTAAATATCTCTTTTATGTGAAGAAAAATATTTAGGCTTTTAGCTTCTCAAAAATCATTTTACAAACTCAAAGAATATACAGGTAAGGATAAAGTCACTGAAGCTGACCACAGTTTTTGAGTTTTTTTGCCTATCAAAATAATGATATCATTGCAGTATAGGAAACATTTTTCTTGGTGTTATTATTAACAGTTTAAAAAAGGTCTGATTAATAATGATACCATAGCCATGTAGTCTATATGGTATAAAATGTATTAAAATATTGGTATGTAAATGTAGCATTTGAACCTATATCGAAATTAAATATTAATATAACTTTTAACATGTTTGACAGGCTTGTATATCAAGAATGAATGGTAGAACTGTAAAGTTGGTGGTGCAATTGTTTGAAAATTACACTTCACAGGTATATAATAGTTATTTTCTAAATATATGTTCACTGATACAAGTATCTTATAATGATAAACTTACAGTGTGTTTACTGTTTACTAAATGACAAATACAAGTTAAATTGAAATGCCAGAATGTCTTACTGTATTAATCCATTGTTACAGTGCCAAATTACATCACTATTAATCAGTTTTCTTTTTTTGCTCTAGTTATTAAAACATTTATATTTGATGATGTAGATTTGATTTTAACTCTATGAAATAGTTTACAAACATTATGCTTAGAAGGGGTCTCCACAAAGTAAAATGGCTTGGAAGTGTAGGTAACAAAATTAACCACTACATGGATTTATGCAGGCTGTCTGTCCATCCGTCTCATGACACTTTGTTACAATTCAAATACCAATCAAAGAGTTCCTGATGTTTAATTTCAAGATTCATCTGAACATGCTATACCATGTGATGCCGTTTCATCACTTTTCAACTTTGATTTGTGGTTCAAATTCACTCACATAGTCCATTCAAATTAGTATTCCATGAATAATAATGAATCCACAGTAATGTCATGTATTTGTAGACATCAGATTCTGACCAGAAGGAAATTTTGCAATAAAGTTAATCGTCTGAACACATTTGCAGATGACTGACCCTGACGAGAAACATTTTTTCTTATTAAATTTAACTGTTCTGTCTTTGCAGATGACAGACTCTGATGAGAAAGGAGTTTTCCTTTTAACACTATCTGCAATAACTGAGGACAAAATTGTAGAGATTTTTTTAAATGCAGAGCAGACACCTGAAGGTTATACAAATGGAGATACGATTTTGAATAAGAAAGTTATATAGCCCATGAAATTCTAACGTGTTGTTTTCATTTTTTAAAATGAAAACAACACTTTATAATTTCTGTGCTTCTGAATCACTTTTCTTGATTTACCTCCATCAGGAACACTCAGACTCAATGATTTGTAAACCAAGGATGTTTAAATATGTACAAACATTATAGGAGCTGTATGACCAAAAGGGATCTAAAAGGAATAACTCAATTTATCTAAGGTCAACTTTACCTGATGGAGTTGGAACCTTAGTTTCTTAGTAATGTTTTATTTCATCAACAGGTCATTTTAGAAAAATTTGATTTTATTCATGTCATTACGGAAGCACTGACTACTGGGCTGAACAAAAGAATTAAATAGATTGAAGTTGCCAAAATACTTGAATAGATTTCATAACTGTTGCATATGTGTGATGTTATTGATCTGACAAGATAAATAGGTAGTGCTTAAAAATCTAGTTTTTCATAATCTTATAAATTTGAAGCTTTTTTCATTAAGTGTAGAAATATATGTACAAAATTAGAATACACCTGAAACAAAGCTGAGAAGAAAAATATAGAAAACCACTTCAAACAACAGATAATTGTAAAATATGAAACAGCATTTAAATAACTGAAAAAGATGAGAAACAAACGTTATAGTGTTATATTTAGATTGCAATGTAAGCATATTATTGGTGTGCTGGGTGTGATCCAGTATAGAACTTATGTATGACATGAATTAAGATATTCACTAATAAGACAGCAACCCAGCAAAATTGAAAAGACATTAAGAGGGCAAAATATAGCTTTCAACAATAGTTATCCATACCTTGTGTGAAGCTTAAAAGACTTGAAAAGTTGAGAATAAAATTAAAAACAAGTAGTAATTATCTGCCATCAACAATGAATAAAAATACACTGAGATATTTTGTGTTTTATATAGATATGAATATAGAAGTTTATGTGCAGATTCTTATGATGTGTAACAGTAGGAACACAGAGGATATTTCTAGTAGTTTTCTCAAAATATTATATCATAGTAAGTATAGGTCATACCCAGAAATGAAACGTGACCTACAAAGGTCAAAGGGGTTGGGCGAGTTGAGTGCAGGTCATAAGTTAATTTTTCAATCTTGGGTCCAATAAAGTTTTAAAAAATTACAAAGGCAAATCTTTTCAAATTTTATAGGAATGACCACTTGGAGATCCTCTATAAATATTTTTAACTTTGTGCTGATTGGTTGACATGTATGGTGGCAATGATGCCATATGCCATTTTTGTCTCACCTGTAAATGGGAGACATATTTACACTTATATGTGGTGATGGCATTAACTATTGTCATAACTTTTGAAGTTTTAAAAGAAGAAGAGCTTGACAATCCATTTTTGCTTAAACAAGGTTCATATTTTCGTAATCTTTTTTTTTGAAACTCAAACCCATGTAATATTTTCCTTTATTTACAGTAACATCATGGCTGGATGATGACAAAGAAGAAGCTACCATTGTATCCTGTCTTCAGCTATTGAGTGGTGCTTTGTCTTATCATCCTGCTAGAGGTGAGATCAAAATCAATATCAAGTAATCAGAAGATAACATAATAGCTTTAAAGTTTAAATCTAGTATAAGTATATCACTTTTTGAAACAACAAGACTGGAGAAGTCCAGAAAAATACTGACTTTTTACTGGTGATGACAAACTCTATAGATACATACTTGTCAAGTGTAGTGTGCCAAGCCTCGTGGAATTCACAGTTTCAGAATCTAGTCCATTATTGGAAACATTTTCCAAAAGCATACAACAAAATGTTTTGATTGATTGGCTAACAATGCATTTTCTAATTTATCCAGACCTTAATTTTTGTTTTTATGAGAATGAGGAGTAATTTTTCAGCCATGTTTTAAAATATGACAAGAAAGGAAGCCTAATCGCCATCAAAATGAGAAGTTAAATTTTTTGAAAATGTTAAAAATGTTCTGCAGCTAATGCATTTTGCTGGTGAAAGGGTACAAGTCTTACATGACACATATAGATGCATTGATGATAGTATTTGTATTGCTTGGAGTAAATCTACTTTCTTTACATAGTCTATTACTGCTTTGAATGGAAAAGAAAGTTTTACAGACTATAAGAAATTATTAACATGGATATTTTTTTTCAGTTGTCAACTTGATGGTAAACAGTTATAAGTTTATTGCATTGATAAACAGCTTGATAACTTCTGCTGTTGTTCAGCTTCAGAATGCTAGCTGGAACATTTTATCACTAGTTATATTGAATACAAAAGGACTAAATGAAAAGGTAAGTTTTTCACAATACTGTAAATTCAGAAATTATTGCGATGTTTTTATTATTGCGAAAAATGGGACAGGGTTATAATCGCAATAATTTAAACTCGCATTTTGAAATTTTTTATATGAATTAAACAGGATTTTTCTCAATATCGCAAAAATTAAAAACGCATATTAGGCTAAAATGACAAAATCGCAATAATAACTGCACGCAATAATTTGTGAATTTACAGTATAATATTAACTTAGAAAAAGGAGGCTTTAGTTTATTTTAGTTAAGAAGACACCAAACACTAATAACATTTGTAATTTAAGTTGAAAGTTTGTAATGAAAAATTCAGTCCAACTAAATAAACAGTCAAAGAGAGACGAAAGATACCAAAGGGACATTCAAACTCATAAGTCGAAAATAAACTGACAACACCATAGCTAAAAAAAGAAAAAGACAAACAGACAAACAACAGTATACACAACACAACATAGAAATGAAAGACTGAGCAACTCTCTTCTCAAAATTAATTGACTCTAAATTCTGCAAGAGTCAAATTATTTTCTTGGTCCCACTGTTGAATTGCAACTTATATTAAGTTTCTCAGTTTGAGTAAAATTTGTATGAGTTGAAATTTCAGATAAATATAAATAAAGTATATGTTATGCAAATTCGAGTTGTCTTCCATTGTTTTGGTTTCTTATTTTACTCCCCTTGAGTTGAACCTTGGTTGACTCACAATATTATCACTGTCGCTTCGAATTCCAGATAACAAGAATTGACTGTACAATTTTGCTTATTGAGTTAATGATGTTGTACTTTATTTCAGGCTATAATGACTGTAGAACTGACCATAAATCCAGTAGGAGAATACATACAGAACATAAATACCGTCACACCTTATTTACAGGTGTTGTCAGCATTATTTCAGGTAGATTTTACCTGTCCACTAGTGTCCTTGAAAAATACAGGCAGATATCCACCACATATGGCATGTCCCTTTACCACCAAGGATTTTAAAGTGCTCTTCATTTACCTCCAACAACTAGTCCTTCAGGTAAATGTGTGTGGAACATGGGAACATGTACCCAGTATTAAAAAGGAATGACAGAATTAATAAACTTACAAAAAAAGTTGATTGAGAGAAAGGGACATTTTAAAACAAATTTGTATTTCTTTTTTGTCTAGTTACTGTAAATCAACAGTTTTATATACACATAGTTAATATTTGTAATTGGATGTAGTGTGCTAAATTTGTGAAGGGAATTGAATACGTGACCAGAAGGGTTTACTCTTTTATCTCAATTATTACAGTAATAATTTCTCATGAATTAGTTTTGTATGGGAGATAGCACCAAAAAAACAAATTATTGTGACAAGGGAGATAATATCCAGACCAAGAGCAGTCAGAATAGCATTGAAAGTTCTTCCCAAATTATATATTTTGTTGTACCAGAGCTAGGGCCAAGGTTCAAAAGTAGAAATATTGATGATTATGATTGAAAGGAGGAAATAATAACAAAAGTACTTATGATCAACTATTGTTACAAGGGAGATAATTATAAAAGCTTAACATGTAACATCGGAGATAATCTTTAAAAGGAATATGAAGCCAAATGAGATGTCTATATATTATCACAAATATAATGATTTTACATGCACTAACAATGTTTTTGAATTGAAGGGGATATATAAACGAGAAATTTCTAAATAATTCTCGGTATTGATAGGATGACAAACATGGCAGTCCAGGACATTCTTTGATTCTAATGCCAATAGTAAAAAAATTCCTCCTGGATTTATAAGGCCAAATAATTAGAAACTTTACTTGATCAATGATTTCGAGACCCTCTACAAAGATCCTCATCTAATGTGTATTTGGTTGCAAACTAGGTGATATTGGTGGTACATAGTTTCCAGTAAAATCGTATTGGAAATCACATCTTCATGTTTACTAAGACTTATTGGCTAATAGCCAAACTTAAATATATTTTGTATCTTTACAAACCTCTTCATTTATTTCATTTGGGCCAAAGTAGCATTTTTTAATTATGATGACCATTTTTCAAAAATCCTTTCTCTGGAACTTTCGAATGTTTTAAATATGACATTGACAATTAGAACAGTCTAAAAAATCATCATGTTCGACGTCATTCATGTGGCAAACAATTTGACAGTGGTTACACATGTTTCCATTTCAAAACTAAAATGAAATCACATTTTAAACTTCATTTCTGAAACTACTTTGCCAATGTGAACCAAATATTTGAGGAATAATGTATGCTATTCCCTCTATATAAATTCTGTTCAATTGAACAACAAGCAAATCCATCTAAAGCAAAATCAGAAACTATCTTCACTTGAGCAATTATGTGTAAATTTGCAAGATGAGAAATTCAGGCTCTTAAGAGTATCTAGTTTTTTTATTATTTCAAAAGTAAACCATTATTGATTATTGTTGCATTGCAAATTAAATTAAAAACACAATGATTACTGTCTAACAAAAAACCATCCTAGAAAACAAGACAATATTTGAAAACTGAAATTTTCATGTTATTTTTCAGATTTGTCTGTTTAATACCGGTAACTTATTAATGAGTTTTTTTTAATGTATCTTTAAGATAACGTGGAGAATAAAGAATTTAGTCCATGACACCATATATGGTACTAACTTTTATATATCCTGATTAAAAAATGTTATTTTTTATAGGATGTAAATGATGTGAAATCCACTGCTGTACAATGCATAGAGGATATGTTTAGATATCTCAAGAAACATTCATTTAAGTTAGGTAAATTATGTTTGTTTATTATTTAGATCTGTTAAGCTATATTGATGTATTTTTGTATTTTTGCCTGCAACGGCAGGTCTTATCTGTCTGTCTGAAATACCTTGGGTTGAAAACTTCGAAATAGTTCGAAACTTTACAATATTCAGTGTACAAGGCAAAGTTTTGTCAGTGTGAATCAGGTATAAGCTATTGGCCTTTTTTCTAAAAGTTGGTTATTGAATCAAAATTGCCATTTTGTGATAATTATTCATGTAAAAATTTGATGACCTTGATCTATTTTATGCACCAATGACTTGTTAAGCTTCAATTCTAAACAATTGCAGGTTATAAAGGAATGATATTTATTGCTTCAGTTACTCAGGTTAAGTCTTCATTTAGATAAAGATTGTAGCAAATACAAGTCGCAATTTCACAAAGTATTTACATTTGTCAGTTGATTTATTGATTGGTGGCTACCTAAGGTCATTTTGTTATTTAATGCATTTTGCATAGTAACAAAGGTTTGTAAAAATAAAGAGAGCTATGGAGTATGGGAGATATCTTATGCAGGAGAAAGTGTGGTTAAAATTTGATTCAAAGTCCAGCTTTAAGTTGCATCTTTCGTCAAGTTACACTATAATGATAGTTCATAAATGGGTACATTAATATTTGTGAGCCAGATTGCTATGCAACTGTATACTGTGGAATAAAATTACAAGGTGTGTTGCATTCACAAGGTGTTATTGTTTTACAAAAGTAAAAAAATGGTCAAAGTCAAACTCCAGTAAAAAAATTGTAAAAATCAAAATGATTGCATACCCGTAGTTTGGTAAAGAGAATAATTATGAGGAAAAATATTTCAACCAAGTATGAAAGCTTTCCGTCGAAAGTCTGTGTATTGTGATTTGAATAGACGAATTAACAAAGACAAAAACTATGTTCCCTAATGTGCACAATGAAAGCACTGTTCCTTTGCTTTTTGTGTTTTTTTGCTGTGCATGTACTAATTTTATGACATGGATGGATACCTCATATCCTTTGTTTTTCTATTACATGGTAATTTACCGTGTTACTCTTACCTAGGTAATTTCAAATACTCATATTAATTTAAATGTCTTTTACAAATTCTTCAACTATTAGATTTCACAATGAATAATCAAGGACTGAAATAGTCTTATCTACATATATCAAAGTTGAATGGTGTTGTCAGTTTCAGATCTGTTAAAATGTTCATGGAACAGCATTCTATTGGAGGTTCTGATCACAATTACAGCCAGCGATCTTAGTTCACTACAAACCACATTACAGTTCATTGATGTAGTAAGTAACAGAAATAAAGTCTATATGACCATTTAAGTTAAACTAGCATTTGACATTTGTTATAGTTAAAGACTTGAAATAACAGAACAGAATTGTTCAAATCTGTCTTGTTATGTTTGATAATTTCCTCCTAGTGTAACCACATCTATAGATAATATAGTTTGAATGGACTATGGACACTACTGTGGATTCATTTATTATGCCCCACCTAGGGGCATTATGTTTTTCGGTCTGTGCGTCCATTCGTCCGTCCGTCCATCCATCCATCCATTTGTCCGTCTGTCCAGCTTCAGGTTAAAGTTTTTGGTCAAGGTAGTTTTTGATGAAGTTGAAGTCCAATCAACTTGAAACTTAGTACACATGTTCCCTATGATATGATCTTTCTAATTTTAATGCCAAATTAGAGTTTTGACCCCAATTTCACGGTCCACTGAACATAGAAAATGATAGTGGGAGTGGGGCATCTGTGTACTAGGGACACATTCTTGTTTTTCATCTGTTTCAAATTTCTTGAATTGAGGAAAACTTGCATTTTCATGGATATTTGATTTGGTGGTTTTGCCAATCTCTGCATACAAAGCCTGTAGAAAATTTGTAATTCGTTGACATTTAAATTTGTGGTTCACCTGTATCCACAAAACCCACGGAAATTGTTATCCAATGAATAATAATGAATCCACAGTATTTGGCCCTTTTGAACAATATTTTATACAATGTGGACTGACGATTTCATCATCTCATTGATCTCTGTGTACGATGTTAAGTGAATGAAACATAGACTTACCAGATCAACAAAAGTACAGAACTTCCACTTTTATATTGATGGATACAACTTTGGACATACAAGATATAAAATCAGAAATAATTTCAATAGTTTAAATCGATGATATCAATAATTATGTACATATAGTAAGAGCTGTCTTCTAAACCTTTTTTTTGTTATCCTTTCAGGTGTTAGAGCTTGATCAAAATGAAACAATTTTTAAGAAGAAATCAAATCTCCATCAACATTTAGTAGATTTCATAAAATGTATTGACATAGAAGATGTAACAAATCATGCCACACTCAACAGAATCAGAAACAAAATATTGTAAATAAACAAGTTTTATGTTCACCAAGTTATTTTTCTTTGATATGGCACCTTGAGAGTATTAAAAACTAGAGGCTCTCAAGAGCCTGTGTCGCTCACCTGTATCTACTGTGGTTTTGGAAATCATGTAAAATAAGGTTAAAATCATAATAAATAGTATTAAATACCCCAATAATGACTGAGACCAAGTTTGGTTTAATTTGGCCCAGTAGTCAAATTTAAAGCAGGTCATCCCATTGTAGTCTTACAATAGTTACTGAAGACCCCTTATCATTATTTAAATTAGTTTTCAAGTTGTGACCATTTGAAATTGTTTTTTTACAATTTTCCCATAGACTTCTATAGTAAACCCCTATGTTCTATTTTTAGCCATGGTGGCCATGTTGGTTGGATGACAGGGTCATCTGATAAATTTTTCAATCAAGATACCCTATTGAAAATTGTGGCTTAGTTAAATTCTATTTGGCCCAGTAGATTAAGTGGAGAAGATTTTTGTCTGGAACCTTTGTTAGTATTGTGTTTTTTTACATTTTGGTTTATTTGTATGTTTCAGTGTCCATTTCATTGAACTAGTATACATTATTGTTAAGGGGCAAGCTGAAGTCTTTCTCCGGGTGGGATTTTCTTGCTGTGTTAAAGACCCATTGTTGGCCTTGGTGTTTTCTGCTATTTGATGGGGTTGTTATCTCTTTTGACACATTCCCCATTTCCATTCTCTGTTCCATTTATTTATTTTGCACACATCTTAAAAAGATCTGTTATGATTTTTTCCCCCTATCTAACATTTCTCAAAGGGTTAATGTTTTGTTATTCTTCTAGCTCAAATATTTTCAGTTGGCGTCAGATGTCTATTTCTTTATAATTTTTTAAGTTCACCTGTCCAAAATTGCTTGTGTAAATTTCAACATTTTCAGCCTGGCAGATCAGTCACAAATAAAATGCTCCGCTGGGGCGCAGCTTGATACGACCGCAGAGGTCGAACCCTGAACAGTTGGGGCAAGTATGGACACAACATTCAAGCTTGATACAGCACTGAATTTGGATTGTAATTAAATATTTGACACAGCATAGGTTTCTCACACAGAATGAAAGTGGTCTAAGAACTTAAAATTTTTTAATTTACCTATTCAAACCATATCGTTGTTATTTGCTTTTATATATACATCAGAAATAACCAATTTAAAATGGAAAATTTTAAAGAAAAAAACATACATGTGATGGACTGTGAAACTCAGATCAGGAGATTGGAAAATTTTGGTCAGGAGATTAGGACTCAGATCAGGAGGTTTTTAATCGACATAAAGTTTGTCGTAAATGTAACCGTGTGCTGTAAAAATTGTCTTTTAAAGTGTGTTTTCTTCAACTTTCAATCCGAATGTATTATGTATTATGTTTATAGTACCCTTGTACTTATAAAGTTTCTTTATCTTAATATTCTACATGTTCAATCTAATATTCTTTTTTTTTAGTATGTTCTTTAAATTTTACAATTCATATCTTTTATATCATTATTCTATAGGACAAACATTGCAATTAGATCATTTGTTTACCAATCTGCATTTGCAGTTAGATTTTATTTGAATAATCAGAAACTCATTTAAATTTAGAACATGGGTCATAGTTATTATATGAATTCAATTTAAGCCTTGAAAGAAAGTATAGAACCCTCAAATAATTTTCAAATTATTATTTTTTGATTTGTCCTAAGACATTTAAAATCATTTAATTACCATCCTTTTATGATTATTTGTTCAATTTATATTTTATTTATATTCTTTTAAAAATTTACATTATTTAAAGGAAAGTAACTTAAAACAGGATAAATCAGGGGAAGTAACCCAATAAATACACAAAGTTTTTATTACACAACGGCAGTTAGCCTGAGGTAAAAATCGTTGATTACCAGAATGTTTGACACCCAAGCTGACAAGTGAAGCCATATAATTATGCATGTTAATTGATTTACAGGTAAAATATAACTTCAGGTGATGTCAGTTACCCGTACGAAAAACATGACACGTACTCCAGCCGGACAGTAGCCGTACTGTAGCCGTACTGAGAACCGTACTTATAATATTCATTTGGACTTTTCTTTGAATTGCTTATAATAGATACCCCGGCTGGACTTTCAGCGAAATTAGCCGTAAACCGGCTCGAAATATTTAAATTAGCAGGAGTCCGGTTCATAAAGTCCAGCTGGACTTTAATAAAAGTACGTCTGAATAAAAATCCAGCCGGCATTTATGGCAAAAATATGGACTCTATAAAGTTCAGCCGGACTTTACAAAGTACGGCTGAACTTTAAAAAGTCCAGCTGGACTTCAAAAAGTGCGGTTTGACTTTTAAAGATGATCTCAGCAGGGGCAAATCCTGCCATTTTCAAAAGAGGGGTTCCTAACTGAGGATAAAGGGGGGGGGGGGGGGTGGTCCAACCCCCGGAACCCTCCCCCTGGATCCGCCACTGCTCAGTTTTTCTTCAGATGGTTGGTTCTTCTGATTTAATTTGCATCATGCATCCCTTGCTATAATCTGAAAATACAAAAACAACAGATGACATTATGCATATATACTGGTTATTTCTTTTTCTTTTTTGTACTGTCTTACTGGCAAATCCAAGAAATGGGGAACTGAGAAGCTAAATGCTAACTTCTAATAATTTGTGGTTATAATAGCCTAAATAATTTTAAAGTGGCTAAAAATAAAATAAAGTTGGCTTTGAAAATCACTTAAAGTGTAGAAATTAAAAAACTTTCAAAACAACTCAAATAATAACCATTCCTTAATACAGAGGGAATAAAAAATATAACAATACATTTTTTTACAAAACCTGTTAACAATTCAAAACAGGAAGTGACAGTGACATAACAGACAAGATGAAAATTATTGCATGAATATAAATATTTGATGTAGGTTTTTTTATTCTTTTGACTCTTCAAAAATAAGAATTAAGCTATTTATAATATTGTAATTATTCTATTTATATTTTGAATAAAAAGAGCATATCAGATAATACCACCAAAATGGTGGAATTCAATTTATTGTACTTACCAGAATATGCAATCCAAAACACATGCAAACAACAATCTTCCTAAATAATTTTGTCATTGATGCCAGTCAGAAGGATCCATCTTCTCTATTTAATGTGAAAAGAACTACTTCCAAACATTTGCTTTACACACAATTATGTAAAATTCTCATTTTGTTCAAGAAAGAAGCATATCTTCCTGTTTATTCCAAAATCAAATTGTGTTGTATTGCAATACATGAGGTTGTTTGAGGAGTTGTTTTAAATGTTCCTCTTATGACTAATTGCATGTGCCTTAATTTTTAATATGTGATATATTAAAAAAAAAAGAAAATCAATTATTAATTTGTTTAATTATGAAATTTTTAATAAAAGTGATAGTAATTGCAGAAATATGTATTTCGAAATGTGTTCTCCTACATATGGCCTCAATCTCTGTGGAGATAGTACTTCCTGTGACCTGTCCAGACTGAGGTTAATTGAAAACAGATGGCACATTTCTACAAGACTAACTGCTATTAAATCACTGTTATATGGCTCAAGTTTCTAATTGATGTTAAAGAATTTTCTAAGTCTAAATTCCTGCTCATAAATGAATGTAAAATTTTCTAAGACAAAAATCCTGCTGATCATTTTACAGAAAGGAATAAATTTCCTCAAAAGTCCAGCCGTGTTTATTTTCTTGTCAGCATTACAAAAAGTGCGGTTGGACTTTTAAGAAAATACCGGCTGGCAAATAACCCAAGTATAAGAAAAAGTACGTGTACGGCTCATGTCAGACTGTACTTTTCAAAGTCAGACTGGAATACGTCTCAAGTCCAGCTGGAGTCCAGTTGAACTCCTGTTGAAATTTTCATACGGGTACACCAGATGTCTGAGATGATATGTTGGGCAGATTTCATACACAGGATTTTTTTCTCTTCAACGCGAGGTCGGGAGGAGACCCCTGAAAACGGGATTATTGTACTACCGTCGGGAGGTTTACATGTATGAAAAAAAGAAAAAAAAATCCCCCAAATTTTTTTGAACCCCCTTATGATTCATCACCCCATTGGCCCAAACTCAATCCCAGCTTTCCCTTTGTGGTATGGTACCATGCAGTACAATTTCAGAGAGATCCATACACTTGAACACAAGTTATTGTCTTGAAACTAGAAAAATGCTTGTTTTTTGGCCCCAAATTCCTAAACGTTTAGGGCAATTACCCCCAAACTCAAACCCAGCTTTCCCTTTGTGATATGGAACCTTGCAGTACAATTTCATAAAGATCCATACACTTACACACAAGTTATTGTCCTGAAACTAGAAAAATGCTTGTTTTTTGCCCTTTTATGGCCCCTAATTACTAAAATTTTGAGGGAATTACCCCCAAAAATCAATCCCAGCCTTCCCTTTGAGGTATGGTACCTTGCAGTACAATTTCAGAGAGATCCATACATTTGAACACAAGTTATTGTCTGGAAACTAGAAAAATGCTTATTTTTGGCCCCTTTTTGGCCCCTTATTCCTAAACTTTTTGGGCAATTACCCCCAAACTCAATTCATGCTTTCCCTTTGTGATATGGAACCTTGTAGTACAATTTCATAAAGATCCATACACTTACACACAAGTGATTGTCATGAAACTAGAAAAATGCTTGTTTTTCGCCCCTTTTTGGCCCCTAATTCCTAAAATATGGAGGCAATTACCCCCAAAATCAATCCCAGCATTCCCTTTGTGATATGGAACCTTGTGATACAATGTCAGAGAGATCCATACACTTACACACAAGTTATTGTCTTGAAACTAGAAAAATGCTTGTTTTTTGCCCCTTTTTGGCCCCTTATTCCTAAAATTTGGAGGCAATTACCCCCAAAATCAATCCCAGCATTCCCTTTGTGATATGGAACCTTGTGGTACAATGTCAGAGAGATCCATACACTTACACACAAGTTATGTCTGGAAGTTACAAAAATGCTTATTTTTGGCCCCTTTTTCCTTAACTGTGGGTACCATAACCCCCAAAATCAATCCCCACCTTCCTTTTGTGGTATTGAACCTTATGGTAAAATTTCATTGAGATTCATTCACTTAAACTAAATTTAGAGTGCGAAAACTAATGTGTATTCGGACGACGACGCTGGACGACGACGACGACGACGCCGGACGACGACGACGACGACGACGACGACGACGCCAACGTCATACCAATATACGACCACAAAAATTTTTTTGCGGTCGTATAAAAAGCTACAATAGGTCAAAATTAAATAAAGACTTTAACACTTTGAGACATGTGATCTTAGAGGAAAAAGGAATAAAGACAAGGACTTTCATAATGTCCCTAGATCTCGGTGCAGCTTAAGGTGAAGGTGGAAGCAGGTCTAGTAATCGCTCAACTCCACCCATCCGAAAGACAACATAGTCAAAGTTTTCTTGACTTCAGTGTTATATTTATTCTGCAGCTTTATAATGATAAGTTGTAGCCAGTAAGCAGTTTTTTTTATATCTGCCATGTAGCCACTTCCTGTTTGCTGATAGTTTGAAATTTTACAACAATCATTGTACAAGGAAAATTTTTTTTGGCATTAGTGAAAGGGAATGATCAGTTATGCTCCAGTATACATATTACCTCAATCAATTTCATGCGTCGACGCAGGTCAGACCCCGTAATGGTCTTGTTTAAACTAGAAACCACAAGATTGTGGTCTAGTTAGGATCCAATTGGCCCATTAGTTATAGAAGAGAATATTTTTCTAAAGGTAAACAAACAATGATGGTTGTAAGAAAATGGTGGCCAAGTGATGAGAAAAGCTTACATGGCTATTTGGGCAGAGTGAGCTAAAAATGAATGATATATGAATGACAAAAAATCAGAAGATGCATATAATAGGATAATTTATTTTATGAACAGGTATTTTACAACTTTGCATGAAATCTACAATAATTGTTGATAAAACATACCGTAGTACACAATAAAGCACCACATTCACCTTAAATACCTTTCTATCAATCATTCGTCAAAGTATCTGTTTAGTTTATCAACTATACAACAGAAACATCCTTATCAAGTACTCTTAAAATATATTACAATTCTGAAAATCTTTTAAGTGTACATTATAAACAAGAATTTTCTACATGTATTACATGTAACAAATGTGTGCCTGGTTATTAAGTCAACAAAAAAGGGATGAAGAACATTTCAAAATGATTTCATTACAAATGATAATTTTCTAAATAATAGTGTAGAATGATATATTGGGAATAGGAACAGCTTTGTTTGATGTAAAATAAATTAAATTAGCAGACCCAATGAAAATTTTCCCCAATTCATCTAGTGGATTAACCAACTCCTAGAGAAATTTTGAATGATTTATCTCCTGGTGACAAAAACTTGCACAATCCAATTTTACTTGCTATTAAATTGTAAATGTAAGTTTAAAGTGTGCAGAAGGGTAAACAAATACTGTTGATTCATTTAATTTCGTGGGTACCAATTTTAGTGGATTGAGGAAGTTTTGTGGATATTCAACTTGTGCCTTTGTAATAAAAGTTTGCAAAAAAGCCAAAATAAAATTTATAGTTTGTTGAACATTTAAATTCGTGGTCTACCTGTAAAAATTGGGATCCCACAAATAATAATGAATCCACAGTACTCATAATTTTATCAGTTAATCTTGATGTGCTCATGTTCTGTTAAATATCTTTTAATGATAAAACTTTTGTGATAGAAATTAAGCTCCAATATTTTAAGATAATTGTTTAAATCTAGTCTAGATGAACTGAGTTTCAATGAGTAAAATGGATTGTTTAAATCTAGATCAACTGAGTTTCAATGAGTAAAATGGATTGTTTAAATCTAGTCTAGATGAACTGAGTTTCAATGAGTAAAATGGAGTAACACAAGAAGCTTAGAAGTACATAATGATAATGGATGGAAATATTTTCTAACATTATATATTTAACTTGTGTTGCAACAGAAATCAGTCAGGGTAATGTTTAAAAAAAATAAGAAAATTAAATCAGTTCAAATTCATCACTAGACTGGGTTATGCTATTCTGCTGAAAGGAATCCAATCCAGCAAGTTCATTGGAGGATTACTATATCTGATATTTGTCTTCTGGGGGAGAACACTGTATTCTAATTTCATTACAATATATTTATCTCGAATTTTAATATGCAAATGTATACATATATGTTTATATAAAACAACTTTAAAATTCATTGTTTTGAGTTAAATTTTCCAACATTACAATCCTTTAAAAATTAAATAAAATTAGGTATATAATGGTAAATACACTACCATCATATAACAATCACTTTGTATTTTTATTAAATGAAACGCCAGTAAAATATATTTCTTTTCAATTAAATTTCCAGTATAAAGTAGATTTTTTAGCAAACATTGTACTATCTTAAGACAGCTTTCAGAAATTGTCAAATAATATCAAACATTAAGTAGCTGTCACTAATACATCCGACTTTTATACTGATTTAATTAACATAATCAACATTACAGTGCATAACAACAGAATTTTGGGACCTTCAAATTCAGCATTTCTCATGCCAAATCTTAACTGATGTTAAATCTTAGTGACCAACTTGCAAAAATATGGGTCATAAAGGGGGGCTGGTTAAATATACATAAGCTAGCAGATTCAAGATAAATTTTCTAAAAGAGTTACAACCCTATGTAATAATATACTGACTATGACTGTAATAAAAGTATGAGCAATATACAAAGAACACAAAATAATAGTGGAGCTGAGATCACTGAGGAAAAAGTTTTAAATTACAATGTATTCCATGAAAGTAGTTTTAAATTACAAGTATTCCATGAAAGTCGTACAAGTCATGAAAGTGTGTAGTGTGTTGATGTAAAAACTTGACAATCAAATATCATGAGTTATTCTGTTTGAGTTTTGATCATGCATACAAAAACCAAGAAAACACAGATAATTTGAATGTAATGACAAAGGGAAATAATTACAGTACATTTCACAATCAAATTTTCAAAAATGAATAAAAGTCCAAATAATATTTTACCTTCCCTTAATCTTGAACATAAATTCCAAATTTAAAATTTCTCCACAGAGTGAATAAACATTTTCCTAGAGAAAAAAAGGTCCTCCATGTCCTTTGCAAGCTTAACCCATTTATGATGAGTTATTTCCCTTAGTTGGTATTCCTAAAGTTTGTCTTTAAGAAAATATGAAATTTTAACAAGCCCTATCTAATTTGAAGGTCACAGGATGGTACAATAGTAAAATGCCTGAATATACACAATTTCCACAAAACCTGAAACTGAAAGACGATGTACATGCACCACCACCGCCTGGAATACATAGCAAAGCAAGAATATTTTGATGTTCATTAATTGGCTGTCATCAAATTCCATTTGATCTAAATTTCAGTGTTATATATTAAACGCTACTGAAAACTTGATAAAATTTTATTCTTATGCTAAGTAAATCCTGGAGCCTCTAAAAATAGATGGTTAAACATATATTTTGTTTGCCCAATCAAAACTGATCAACACCCACAGGAAATGACATTTTCATTTACTACGAGTCAAGAAAACAGTATGTTGGGTCAGTTATGCATCACAAAAATTATTATAAAACTGGCCTTATCGATAGTGCAAAATGAAAAAAATAATGAACTATTGTAAATATTCCCATGAATTTTTTATAAAAACTTCAAATAGGAATTATATTATCAATAGATACCATTAAATAAGCATAAAAATAAAACAACAACATGAGACAAAACATCAAACTACAACAATCAACAAATGAATAATTGCATCCTTAAATGTTGGCACCAAGATATTTATACACAGTCATGCCAACTTCTGGTTGCAACTTTTATCACATCCTAAGCTATTCATCTTCATCTTGAAAATATATCAATTAATGTATCATATTTTTCAGTTACCAATTCAAGTTTATTCATGACAATTTGTTGACTGATTAAATCTTAATAGTGAAATCTTTCAACATTACACAGACTTTAATAATCTAACATTTTCAAAATAAATTTTAACTCATCTGTTGGACAAAATAAAAGCTATCTGCAACAAATGTTTACAGTTGTTCAACAACAGCATATTTGAAATTCACATATATATGCTGAATAAAATAATGATTTTTGGCTCAACTTCCATTCTGCATTGTTCGATACAATAGAATTAACTTTTTCAAATTTTGTCTCACATTAAATAATAGAATCGCTATGTTTGTTATTTTCAAATTTCACACAACTTCTAATTCTGTGGCAAGCACTTGGGTAATAATACATGAAACTTTTAATCACTTTTCCATTTACCCATCTGAAAATCTTCCATGTCTGAAAATTAACACTGTATGCCTTGTGAGACTGTACTTTCATCTTTAAAATGACATTTCTTTTTATAGAAATATCGCTGTTCAATAAATTAAAAGCACTATTTATCACAAAATCAGCTTTTGACTTGTTTTTGCAAATGCTGTAAAAATTCATAATATGACATTGACGATTCAGTCCGATCTTCAACCATATATTGAAAAAATTCCATACGTAGTTTACTGTCTTCTCTGAAAAATAATAAAAGAAGGTATAATTATTTTTATTTTCATTAATATCTGTTTTTGGTATATAATAAAGTGTCTTATTCACAACATTTTCTTTTTTTTTTAACCCCAAATGTGACCCTTTTAAAATGAGAGGAATATAAAAATAACGAAATACTGTTTTTGGACCCTTTTTAGTCCCATTTTTTACTTGACAGGCAAGGCTTCAAAATTCAAAATTTTCAGTTTTTGGTTATAAACAGTTTTAACTATTTTGTCTATTCCTTACTGTAATATCATTCATAGAAGCTTCTCAGGATGGAATATGTTAGCATGCTATGGATTGACAACTTCAGATTTACAGACACTAATCTCAGAATCACTAAGCACATAAACATCCTTTTAACCATATTTTAAAATGTCTACATACCTTACAACATAAAACGTTGATCCATTTGGTCGATTATCCAATAAATAATTTACAAATGCTCTAACATTTTCTGATGTGGGGTTTTCTAATTCTGGTAAATCAATCTGTAAAAAATTATAATTCAAATCATTTGAAGTATTCACCTCCTTAGGAAGATGGCATACTTATACACTACTTTGTCATAACTACCGTATAGCTGGAAAATTTAGCGTAATATTGACTATGTTTGTGGTTGGCATTTGACTGTGAAATTAATCCTGAGCAAACATTTCACTATCATTTCAACAGCACTTTAAAAGGTTGGGAAACACAAATAATGAACACAGTGATTAATTTATTGTCCCTTCAATGGCTCAAACCACAAACAAATCCCAATGTAAAAATAACCTGATATACAGTATTCTGGGCTTGTAAATACAAACAGATTTTCTTGAACTTAATACTATGGTCTATATACATTAATAAACTTCAATAGAAAATCTTTGTATTCTGTAATTCAAGTCTTTATTTACAGACATAAATTCTTAACTACAAATAAAGTCGATTTGATGATACTGAAAACGGAGAATAAAAAAAAAAAAAAAATTTAAATTTTCAAACATAACAAATTCTTATAAATACATATTATGACAGAATTTATCACTGCAGAGAAAAAATAAAGATTTTCCATTTTGGTCAATAGCAAATTTAGGACAGTAATGCAATTAAACTTAATTGGAGACAATGAACAGACCACATGTGTTTTGTAGATTTGCAAAGAATATGTTTACATTAAAACCTTATTGAGGTAAAAGTCAATTAAATCTAAATAAAAAATAATAATTGAAAGAAAATTTGATGAGATGTATTCTTTTTTTACTGAAACCTCTAATTTGATTCACTTGCATATGTGCAAGCATTGTCCTGAATATGCATGAAATATTAAACAATGGATATTAAGTAACAAATAATCCATCAATATATGTACAGGCAAAATATCTTTGCCTTAACGAAAATCTTGTGTTGTATTACCAATTTAGTAATTATCCAGATTATTACTTGTGTTTGCTTTGAATGTTTTTGTAAGGATAGATTTAGCAGCTAGGAAATATTCTTGCCAGAATTCAGAACTTTGAACTTTGCTGCAATATAATATATATTATTGAATAAGCTTGGATCAACTTAGGATAAACAAAGTGCAGTCCTACCATTCCTTCAGGTATTGACATAAAATTAGGAACATCTAATACGTCTTGACAGAACTGGTCACCAACAGCACTTCCTACATAAAAGTACATATGATCATATGCATCTAGCAGATATACTCCTTGACGGTCAATATTGGCTGAAGACAGATGAAGTCTAATGGTCTGTGGAATCTCTGTATTATTCTTTGCCATTACCGACTGAAAAAAATAGGTAGAAATGTTTAAAAATCAGAGTTTTTTTTTTCCCTTCAAAATTGGAAGTTATTTATTTCACATTATGCAGATCGAAATTGATGAAAGCAATTAATAATTGTCAAAGTTTGATACTTCTGAGTTTTTATTCTAATATCCCTACATAAAAACAACACTTTTCTGAGACATAATGAAGTACATTTTTGTAAGTGTTAATGAATTAGTCTACTCTAACTAACATAAGTAAGCAAACCAAGCTTTTAATGAATTAAATGTACATAAATCTCCATATCACCTTTAAACCATAGTTAAGAACACTTGGTTTATACAGAGGCAATCATATTAACAACAGCAGAATATTCAATGCAATACTTCTGATCAATTGACATAAATTTGGTATTCACTGACTCATTAGTGTACAAACCACATATCACTTTTAACAATATAGCTATGCTCACTTCTACCAAATGATAACTGCTTTATAAATTTCATGTTTGTATTTTAGATATATATTGATGTACATGTTAACTTTATACTTACTGTTTCACCTAGTTTGTGTATAGGATATAAGTGAGGGTAAATACTCTGTATAAGATACTGTATAGGTAAACTTTTACACTGCTGCATGGCAAATACTCTATCATCTAGTCTGGTAGTCGTACCAAATCTAAAGGCAGTCTGAAATGTAAAAAGAGCAAAACTGATAATTGGACTCCTCTGCTTGGATCGTAAAATGCAGTTAAGTGAACTATATTTGAAAATATTTACTGATTATCATTATCAAGTACTACATGAGAGGTTAAGCTACTAAAAAGATTTCAATTTATCTAAGCAATTTGATATGACTAAGTATTAGGGATGTCAACAAGTACTTGAGTATTCGAGTATCACTCGGTAGTACCGAGTATTGAATACCAAAACTATACTCAACTAATCGGTTTCCTGTTAGAATATTGCTGTCTTCTTTATATAAAATATATCTTCTTAGAACCTCTTACGGAAAATTAAATAGGCATCACTGATTAGTCATACTAGTAAATTAAATACATTTAGTTTCGAATGCTTGTGCTAAATTGTCATTTAAAATGCCTCCGAAAATACGTGGGCTATACCTAGGCTTACACTTTAAACAAAACATGTCTTAGCCATTCCGTCACATAGGAACCGTCAGAGCAAATATTTTCGTCTGCAAGACTGTAAATTACAAAGTTGCAAAACCGACTGTCCCCAATAATAGTAATAGTTGACAAGAAAATGTTTCCAAATAAAATAAATTTGTTGCATCCTCTGGTGACCCTCAGTGAATAGTTAAACTTCTAATTCTTACGCCTATGTAAACAAATTTGTTTTCTTAACGATTACCAAATACTATTGTTTGATATGGTTTTTCCTTGTCATAATTTATAAATAGGTATTCATTAAATTATATTGTTTTTTTTACTTAATTAGTACTTGTAGGTAATGAGCTATTAATCATGCTGTGTAATTCCTTGTCCCAGATACTTATGAAGATGGTTTTTCATCCGTTGAACAACAAATCACAGAATGTAAAATACGATTTTTTTGTGTTTCCATGTTGTAGATATATTCCCGAGCGAATTCTCGAGTATTGCTGGATAAAACCAACAAGTACTCAATTAGTAATTGTTCACCGAGTTGACATCCCTACTATGTATACATTGCACAATGATTTTTATGTAACCCTCAAAATATAAATTTTTAAAACTTAATTTTTGTTGCCTGTAATAGAGTATACTTTCTGTGCACTAAAATAAACAAAATATCCAAATTCGTTACTACAAGGTACTATATGTAAAGTCATTTAAAAATACTGACTTGATCAAGAAAATATTTCCCCAAAACAAAACTAATGTAACTCCAAATAAAAAATATTTCCCCACAACAAAACTAATTTAACCCTACACACATATACATTCACTTACAAATTTACACATAGCTGAGATTAACATTGGTAATAATCTAAGAGAGTAACAGATCGGTAAACTGCCTACTCTCTGTGAAGACGGTAATGTACTACCAAAAGCTGATAATGAATCTACAGAAGCATTTAACATGGCTTCTCTGGCATCAGGTAATGAAGCCGTTACACTTCTGTCTGCACCTGTAAAAGGATATGTTCATTTTTTGAAATTTTTGTTTTTACATTCATGTTTACAAATTTTTGTTTTTACATTCTTGTTTACAATTTTTTGTCTTCTCATTCTTGTTTACATTGTTTTTACATTCTTGTTTACAAATTTCACAGATCATAACCAATTAATGATGAAAAGTAAAATAACAAAAATATCGGAAAGTCCCTTATCAAATGGCAAAATCACAAGCTCAAATACATCAAACGAATGGAAAACTACTGTCATATTCTTGACTTGGTACAGGCATTTCCTTATATAGAAAATGGTAGAAAAAGTGATAACACTGATAAACAATTATCCTTTATTTCTCAATAGGTGTTAATATTTCAAAGATAATAAAGTTATAATTGAGAAACCATAGAATTCCAGAGTAAAAAAGTTTGTTTCTTCTTATACAACAATACCTGATAGTTCATTTGAACTGTTAATCCACACTCAATTGCAAACTGTAAGTGTCCTTATTTCTAATTTTCATTACAAATTTTATTGGCAGTTAAATTTTTAATACCTTGTTTTGCCACACTTACCCATTTTTGCCAGTAATCCAATAATTGCTTGTTGATCAGCCCCAGCATAAATATCACTTAACTGATTTGTAACGGGAAGGCACATGGTATGTACACGTATTCTTCTTTCTCCTAAAAGAAAATGTGTTATGAAATTTAAATACTGACTCCAAAGGACTTTTACTACACAACTGACATCAATTATGAATTATTTTTTTATTTTACCCATTTTTCTATTCAATAAATGGAGGGAATGATTGGTCATCAGATATAATTTGATAATACAAATTTAAGAATAACAATGGAAAGCAAATGATAGCAACAGCTCACAATAATTTTTTATATATATCAAATATCAATATCAATCTGACACTTTCCATTTCTATCATACTCTTAACAACTTTTTTTTAAGAAACTCGAACAGAACTAGTGTATTTAATTTTTTATATAATGGGTTCTGCTATATATTCTTGTGTGATTAAAGAGAGTTTAAAGAAAAAGTGCAAGTAATTACTTACTTGTAATACCAACTTTTAAAGAAGAGAGTGAAGTATTCTGAAGCATTTTTTCCATTAGAAATTAATTTTCTACTTTTGTAAAAATAAATCCTTATTTTCACCTTAACAACTATAAGGGTACAGGTCATTGTCTGCAATATTTTTGTTCAAAGTGAAAAATTGTTTGAATTTATGAAATTTTGTTGTTAAATTAAATAAAATTATTTCCTAAAAATTCTTACAAAGGTGTCAAAAATTGTAACAGGAACATAAGAATGTTTACACCCCAAAAGGTGTGGTGTAATAAATATTTCTTGCATCTTTCCTATGGTTCCCATATCATACCTTTACTAGATGTATACAATAAAGCTGCCTGGAAGCATACAACACTATTTTCTGTCAATGAATCTTCTATGGACATCTGCATACCAAACCCTGCATCAGGATTGATGTTGGGTAATGATAGTAAATCTGTTGATCGTACAAAAAAGTTCCCATGGAAAGTATGGATACTCAAACCTAAAATATAAATTGTTTTAATTATTTAATACAACCCAAACTATGGAAAATATTTGACTAGGACATAAAGATAAAGAAAATAAGTATGATATGCCATTTCATTTCAATGTCTTAATACTCATCCCATCCCTGTATTGTCCTTCATATTTTAGTTCTTGTAAAGTTATCTGCAATCTTTAGTAAAAATTTACATTTACTTAGAATATAATCTTCTTCTTGTTTTCTTATATTGTTTAGAATGAGACCATACATTTCAATTTTATAATGAATTTCACCTCTGAGAAACAAAAAATATATTTTACATCTCAAGTTAAAATTTTGTATGTGAATAAGTTCAGATAAAAGATTTACCTTTAGTGCATCTTATTCTCATAACAGCTTCAAAACCAATCTTCCTTGTGAGATATCGTCTTAGATCTGTTTCAAACTTCTCTGTTAATGATGGGTTCTTCACAGAATGGAATGATGGGAAATAGTGTATACAACCACCAGAATACTTTGATATACATGCTGAAAGTAACACACATATGATATACATGCTGAAAGTAACACACATATGATATACATGCTGAAAGTAACACACATATGATATACATGCTGAAAGTAACACACATACGATATACATGCTGAAAGTAACACACATACTATTATAAAATACATTTTTTTTAACCTTTTTTTCTTTTGGACATTGGACATTTGTTTGTCTATATGAACAGTTTTAATGTCAAACCTTTTAAAATTTAGAACTTTACAACGGTTTGTTAATCTCCATGGAAAGGAAGGGAGATGGTTGTATTTGAAGCAACACTTTAGTAAAATACAAGGAAATAATCAAAATGGCCTTTCTAGTCAAGTAAACCTGTTGTTTCTGTCACTTCTTCTTAGATATCAAATCTATCTCAATTTCTATTCTTTTCTATGCATTGTTGTCCATTAAGCAAGTTTTTCATTAAATATTGGTATATTTTCTGTCATCATGATGATTTTCAGTATGGTATTAAGTTGTTTATGCATATTTTTTCCTAGACTATTATTCATGTAACATTTAAATTATCTGAGTGTGCACTTGGTGCACAAATCTTAAGTTTGCTTATTTCATAGGTGAGCATGGATGAAGGCTGTACAGTGATCTATAATTGTTAACTTTTATGCCATTTAATCACTAAAGGAAAGTTGTCTCATTGGCAATCATACCACATCTTCTTATTTTAATTAGGAATTCTTTCTTAGGTAGTGTTTATATACAAACAGACTGTTAAACAGGTTTTTCTGTCATCCTCATGTTACCTGTCCTATGATTTGAATGGCTAATAATGACAAAATTGGTTTTCAGTAAGAAGTAAACAAAGATCACTTAGCAATCAGGCAGACTTAACTTCATATCTTTTTATACCAAATACTTATATAGTAAGAAATACTGTGTCTAGAAATTATCAGGGAAGTACCCCATAATGTTAACTTACAAATAGAACTAATATCTGCATATTGACCATTTAACATAAACAGATCAACGGCTACTTGCTGTGCTGAACAATCTAATGCCAATTTCTTATAAAAATCTGTAGCGGGTCCTAGATTAGTTACATTCTGGAAAACAATAAAACAATTATTAACATAATTATTCTTTATGTTAAGAATATATCAAGTAATAACGAAAAACAAAACCAATATAATAATAAACTAGAACAGTGGGATACCCCAGAGCTTACATGAGACTAATACCACATATTGCAATATTAGAGCAAGTTAATTTGGTTATCTCCCCTTTAACATTCATTAATAGACTTATGATTTATAATTCTACTGGGGTTAGGGTTGCAATTGAATCCAGCAAAGTTAACAAAGACTGTTTTGACTGTTCTATTTATGTTCTTTTCTGGTTTGGTACTATATTCTAATGTACATGACTTCCCTGGGGAAGTTTATTCCAGAGAAAAAGTCATGCATAACAATATTGGTATCATAAATTTAAATGCCATGCAGAACTATTTTTTCCTTCAGTACAGTTGATCTGATGAATAAATGTTAAAGACACCTGAAAATAATTTATTAAAATAATATGTATATAAAAGCATGTGTCATAGTTCATACTAAAAATTAGAAGAATATGTAAATTTGAACCATTTCTTTAATGACCCCATGACTTACCAGGAATATCTAAATTTTATAAAATACATTTGTAAATTTGTTACTATAGTGCATGCCAATATTTATAAAATTTAAATAACACTTATTCAACTGTAGGAAGATTTTTTAATTTCTTACAAATAAAGATTAAAAGCCATTAATTAAATACCTACAAACATTTTTTGAATTTTGTTTGCAAGATGTATAACAATTGTATCTGATCAATGTAGGTTTAATACCTTAGTTGTTCTTTGGTTAGGATCTTCTCTTGACTCCAGCCCACCAGGACCTATGGTAGGCAAAACTGTCTGTACAACTGTTACTCTACCACCTGTTGTATGCTATAATGTAAAACATATATACTAAACATACATATTATTGGTTGAGGCAAACTAAAGTTAGAGAATGGAAACGACAGATTTAGCAATTTTACTATTTATAAAGGGGCATTATTTGATCTGTGTTTTGTAGCAAAAAGCATTGTCTATAAGTTTTATAACATTTGATTGAGGCAAACTGAAGCTAGAGAACGGAAACGAAAAAATTCAGCAATTTATGTGTTTATAAAGGGGCATAACACATGAACGGTAAAAGTGACGCCACCCAATTTCAAACTTGATCTGTGTTTTGTGGTAATAAGTATTGTGTGTAAGTTTCAAAACATTTGGTTGAGGCAAACTAAAGTTAGAGAACAGAAACTAATTTTGGGTACGTTCGGGACGAACGAACAAGGGTAACACTTTATGTCCCCTTCGCCTTAGCGGCGGGGGCATAATTACTGTATAATTAATACTATATGTATATATATTTATATGCTCGGAAATGGGCCCTTTAATTGGATTCAATAAAATATTCTTATTCTTATATAAATGTTAACATATTATGTAAATAACTTTGAAGTATTATTATAAATTCAGAATTTATTATGAGGTTTTTATCATTGTGAATAATACGACTGAGTGAGTATCGCAATAATAAGTACTCACATTCTGAAATGTGACACATATATTTGTAAGCAGCTTTTCCTGTAATCGCAATAATAAATGCACACAATAATTTCTGAATTTACAGTATTAATTCCAAAATTCAATCATTAGTGGTTGGTACATTAATTTCATTTTAAACTACAAAAAGTAATTTAGGGTTGAAATATTAAGTTTATCTAATTTGTTTTGATTTCCTATAATCAGATAAAATAAATGGAGAATGTGTCCATGGGACACAGATGAGGCCCCTGCTTGCATATAACGTTATAAAGGGACATAACTAGAGAATTTTATAAGTAATGCCACCCAAATTTGAACTTGATCTGAGTTTTGTGGTAATAGGCATTTAGTATAAGTTTCATAACATTTGGTTGAGGCAAACAAAAGTTAAAGAACGTTAACTTATTTTGGGACTTACATACAGACAGACAAGAGTAGCACTTAATGCCCCTCCGCTGCGGCCGGGGCATAAAAATTAATAATTTAGCTTATGGACTCCTACTAAGTTACACAAGACCTAAAATTGAAAACCAGACAATATTAGAACAACAATAAGTCAGGTTGAATATCAAAGCATCATGAAAAAGCCATGAAAATGGAGGGACAGTACCACCAAGAGGACAATTTGTGAGAACTGACATGAAGAAAGATATTTTTTCTAAAAAAAAAAAAAAGGATTTGCAACTATTATTTAACCCTGACTCTGATAAATATTTAACTTTACTATCAATGATCACAGCTGTCACAGTTCTTCCTTATATGTTTACATAACAAGATCTAGTCAACAGCTACAATCTTTTCTATATACTAGCACACTTACAATTAATTTATATGCAGCCTGAAGTGCAGCACCTAATGCACTTCCTGTTTCTCTGTTGTGTTCAAAAAGAGTTGGCAGTTGATTTAATAAATCTGATACCATTTCTTTACTCTCTTGTAAATTGACTAGTAAGTTATCAGGACAAGGAAGAAAAACATCTGAAAGTAAAATTAAAACAGGGATACAGTTAAAAAAGTGTGCATCTTAAATTAATTTAATACAATAATAACAAAAATTTACATAGTTGAATTTTGTTGGGTTTTGTGAAGTATTATTGTCCCCATTGTATGCACCATTGGGGACACAGTAAGATTCTTCATCTGACCATCTGTTCTAAACACAGTAAAACTCAGAGACCATTTGCTAGAAAGCTTTCATTATTTGCCATCATATTCTCTTGACCATTTTTTAAGTAGTGTAACATGACAGTTGACCGTGTGACAGAAAGCTTTCAAATTTGTAAGAATTGTTTATCATCATGTATTGATGACCATACCATTGGAGTTATTGAGCTTTGACAATTTTTCTTACTATACTAACAATGACACTTTGGGAGCACAACTCTTTAAATCTGTTGGGTAGAAAGCGTTATTTGTGGAATGGTTTGCTATCATTCCTACTTGACAATGCGTTACCCGTCATTTCTATCTGACAATTTTTGGGAAGATATGGAACATTGACTATTCTTAGCCTATTGTGGCATACTCACACCTGATGATCGTATTTCAAAGATACATAGCAGCAGAGGACATTCAGCTATAGTGCAGCAGTATTGTTTATTTCTATATCAAGCTGTCTGATTTTTACAATATGAGAATTATACATACCATCTACATCAGAAACAATCATCATCTGAGGTTGTGACAAGTTCTCTTCCAAGTTGAAGAAATATAATGCACAATCATAACACAGAAAACCAATTTGTGTCCTAGAATCACTGGGAATCTTATCTAATTCATCTAATAATGTCTGACAAAATGTATTTAAATAACCTGCAATAGAAATGACATTGTAAAAGAAATAGTATCTATTTATCTTTAACCTATCAATTCACCTATAAGAGGTAAACTATACTTTCTAATACTGAAAAATTAAACCATTATGTGAACGATCTTTTGAACCGATTCCTTTAAATCAGTCAAGTTGTGTAACATTGCCTGCATTATAATTTTTTGTTTGTTTTTTTTAGAATAAATCTGGCCGATGGTATTCTCTTTTGAATAATTCCATATTTTGTCATGCCAGGGCAATTTATAGCTTACTATCTGATATATGAATTTTGCTCATTGTTGATGGCTGCAGAGTGCCCTATAGTAGTTTACCTCCCTTTCTTTTGGTCTGCGGTGGATAATTATCTCATTAGCAATCATAACATATATCCTTATTGAACTCTATATAAAATGATCCTTCCTTTTAGTATACCTCTCTAACTTTTCAATCAGAAAGCCTGTCTTCACTTGCCTAAATCTCTTCAGCTACCATTTAAAGTAACTAACAATCATTCATTGTTATTTGTCTTCCATCATTAAACAGGGAAAAAAATTAACCAAGACTCTTCAGTTAGCCCAATGAAAACCCTATTTATAAAGCATTTAAAACAATTGATAAAGACAAACACATCTTTTCTTGTCAATGTATTGTTCTTTTTATATAAATATATTTATGATTAAGAACTCACCAGTTTCTATTGCATTGAAAGACACATCTAGTAAATACAGGTACACTGCTGGTTGGGGTGGACGCAACTACAAATCACAAGAATTTTTTAAATTATATCATTAAAACTCATGCTTTACAGTCGACTCAGGCAAATCGGATACTCAAAATGTCAGCAAAAAATATCCCATTACCCAATATATTGAATGAGACTATAAATGTACATTCATTGAAATTCTTTAATAATAAGTTGACTTAAATCCTGAGATGTTACTAGCCTTGACCGCTTGGAGTGTTTTTTTTTCAGGTACGTCACGGCAATGTTAATGTTCATAAATATCTACCATCCATAGTTTGTGTCTTTATTTGTTTTATAAACGAAGTAATCCATATTTACATTTGTGTGTCGTGAAATCACAGGTAAGCTAATTGGGCTATAAATAGATACAGCATGTCCTCTGTACAATTTCTAAACTGAAATCTTATTTGATTAATCAAATTTATTTGACTATCAATGAATATAAGCATGATTAATAAAATATTTTTGCATTAAGTTCAAGTTTTCTAAAGATTCTATTAATGTTTAGGTCATGGTTCTCGAGGCTTCTTCACATTATGTAAACAAAAGAAAATGCTGTCCATGACATGTGGTCATGCACATGTTACATAATTATACCAGACAAAAGTCAGATTTCTCAGTTCAAAAGGGATTTATATGTATATTGCAATAAATTATTCAGAAGGAGGTACATTCAGTTTAAATTATATTTCTGATTCTGTAAGGACTTAAAGAGTTTTATCAAAATTTTCTTGTATATTTTATAAATAAATTTAAACCATTTGAATTGTAAGGGCATCTAATACACATCACAAAGGAAGACAATGAATAAAGACAACAATTTATTAAGAAATAGTTCCTTTTAGTAAGTAAAAACTAAATTTTCTTCACTGCAAGATTGTAATTACGTAACTTCCGGGTCCCTTTCCTGTCAGAAAAATATTGAAAATATATGATTGTGCATGGTTTTGAACTAATTTTCCTGAATATTCCTATCCTATTTGACAATATATTCTTATATCCAATATTCAATAACACAATACAATTAACATTTAAACATATAGGGAAGGGTTAGGTGTTTTGAAAAAATATTACAATAGCAGATATATTCTTTTAGCCGATATCTGATTAGGTGCAGTCTACTGTACTTTTAAAAATAGATGTAAATAGGCCAAATACAGAAATAGCAATGAAAATAACAATTTTTGATGTTACACATCATTATTTTGCGGAAAATCTAGTGATGAATACTTCTCTAATATAAATAACACAAAATTGAACTGTCATTTTCTAGTTCCTATGATTTCAATAGACATGGGTGATAATAATCTGTTGATGTCATATATAATAAAATGCTCCGCTGGGGCGCAGCTTGATACGACCGCAGAGGTCGAATCCTGAACAGTTGGGGCAAGTATGGACACAACATTCAAGCTTGATACAGCTCTGAATTTGGATTGTAATTAAATATTTGACACAGCATAGGTTTCTGACACAGAATGAATGTGGTCTAAGAACTTAAAAAATTTTAATTTACCTATTCACACCATATCATTATTATTTGCTTTTATATATAAATCAGAAATAACCAATTTAAAATGGAAAATTTTAAAGAAAAAAAAGATCCCCCCCCCAAATTTTGTGAACCCCCTTATGATTCATCACCCCAAAACTCAATAACAGCCTTCCTTTTGTGGTATGGTACCTTGCAGTACAATTTCAGAGAGATCCATACACTTGAACACAAGTTATTGTCTGGAAACTAGAAAAATGCTTGTTATTTGGCCCCTTTTTGGCCCCAAATTCCTAAACGTTTAAGGCAATTACCCCCAAACTCAAACCCAGCTTTCCCTTTGTGATATGGAACCTTGTAGTACAATTTCATAAAGATCCATACACTTACACACAAGTTATTGTCCTGAAACTAGAAAAATGCTTGTTTTTTGCCCCTTAATTCCTAAAATTTTGAGGCAATTACCCCCAAAATCAATCCCAGCCTTCCCTTAGTGGTATGGTACCTTGCAGTACAATTTCAGAGAGATCCATACACTTGAACACAAGTTATTGTCTGGAAACTAGAAAAATGCTTATTTTTGGCCCCTTTTTCCTAAATGTTTTGGGCAATTACCTCCAAACTCAATGCCAGCTTTCCCTTTGTGATATGGAACCTTGTAGTACAATTTCAGAAAGATCCATACACTTACACACAAGTTATTGTCATGAAACTAGAAAAATGCTTGTTTTTTGCCCCTTTTTTGGCCCATAATTCCTAAAATTTTGAGGCAATTACCCCCAAAATCAATCCCAGCATTTCCTTTGTGATATGGAACCTTGTGGTACAATGTCAGAGAGATCCATACACTAACACACAAGTTATGTCTGGAAGTAACAAAAATGCTTATTTTGGCCCCTAATTAACTGTTGGTACCATAACCCCCAAAATCAATCCCAACCTTCCTTTTGTGGTATTGAACCTTATGGTAAAATTTCATAGAGATCCATTCACTTAAACTAAAGTTAGAGTGCGAAAACCAATGTGTCTTCAGAAGACGACGATGACGCCAACGTCATACCAATATACGACCGCAAAATTTGTTTGCGGTTGTATAAAAATAAGAAGATGTGGTATAATTGCCAATGAGACAACTCTCCACCAGAGATCAAATAACATAGATGTTAACAACTATAGATCACTGTAAGGTACAAAGCAGCATATATTACCATATCCTATACTAAACCAACACATTCAGCCAGATCACAAGTGAAAGGTCCACAGTAAGACATGTATCCATAACTGTATTTTACTACAATCTGATTATTATTTAGTACTAACATAGCAGTTAACGGCTAATGAATCTCAGTACCAATGTTATCAACTTACCATATACTCTGAAGGAGCAATGAATTCTATAGTGGCAGACTTTATCTCAGGTCTTCGTTGTGGTTCTCCATATGTCTTAGTCACAGGGTCAAAATTAAACTCTTCTGGCACTAAAAAGTGATTTGTACTTAATATTAAAATAAATATATAGATAATACACAACTATAAATACATTTGATTTCAGAACAATATAATTTTTTTCAATACTATTTGTTTATAAAACATGCCTTTTGGTAAGTTTGTATCATACAATTAACAACTAAATAAAACATTTAACCATAACTATTTTATTCAAAGTCCATTTAAGGTACATGGAAAATTCAAAGACTTCTATCATTAAATCTAATGACTTCTTTAAAAATTAGCAAATTAACTTTTACATGTTCTTTAGACAAATGCATTAAATACTAAATTCATTTTTGTCTTTAGAAAGAGACACAATATTATCTTGGTCTAGATTATTTTTCAAACAGTTTTTTTCATAAACAAGAAAGTACATCTTAAGCTCAGAGTTTCTTGTATACAAAAAATAATTATGTTGTCTCATTTGCTAATTAAACATTTGGTATTGTGATTATATACCGAAGGATCAAAATTAGAAATCACTTAAATGTCAGTTTTCCCCATTCCAAAGCATTGCAATATTTCATGCAAATTAATAACATACATTCATTAACTCTGTAACATAGATTACACTTCCATCGTCGCTGATCCACAAAGTAAACAAAAGGATTGATATATGTCCTACACGATCGACATCGTACTATCACATTAGATTGTATAACAGGAAGTTGCTGAAAATGAAACATACTAATATGTAGTAGTTGTTCAAAACAGATATTCCTAATGGTAAATTTAATTCTTTACATTCAAAGCTATTTTTCTAAAGAAATTTTCTACAAAGTCTAACTGTTCAAACTGTCAAAATATTGTTATCGTGTATATATATATATTTTTTTTTAGATAAAGTTTATATATTTGTACTCTTTGTAATAATCTTAATGGATATAAATTCAGTATGGACACAAATTACTGACTAAGTTTCCAAATTAAAAAAATTTAATGTATTACACATTTTAATAGCATTAAGCTTTGATTGCAAAATAGGTGCGTAGGCAAAAAATTTCTGTACATGAAACATGCTCTTTCCATAAGATTTGTTTTGACAGAGATAGTTTGTTATTCCTGGGTAGATGAATGATGGAAAAATCAAACACAGCTCCTGATTTGGAAGTTAACTTATAATGGTAAAAGATTTAACAGAATACTCACTGATAAGTCTTTGAAAGGATGTATAAGAATGCCCAGAGGTAACCTAGATTTGTTTAAAAGTGACGATGTTTGAGGAATTGAAGTCAATGTACACCTGAGGATACTGGAAAAGAAATTAAAATTTGCATTTAATGTTAACATCCGAAATGTAAATCATAAATTAAGTAGCCAATGATTGACTTAACTTCCTAGATAATATCCTGTGAAGATTTTTATTATATAATCACAGGACGAATTTTCTAATTAACCCATAGAAAAGACCTTTTTAAAAAATTTAAATGTTAAGAAGAACAGTAATCATTACATTGGTAGTTGCATTACTTTTAAAGAGTATTTTTTACATTATGAAACTTAATTTATACATATCTTTAATCCTTTGATGTTATGTGTGAAAACATTCACTTCTAATTTTATTTTCAAACTCTTTGAATTTGACTGTTCTTCATATCTATTCTATAAAGAAATACCTATTTCTCAATCATCATTCTTGTAATGCTTTCTAAATTATATACAGATACATGACTTACTCAGGACTACAGTTGACTTTTTTGAAGTCATTATGCAGTTTTATCTTTGGGTTCTCAATGCCATCAGCTGGTATCAACTGTTTTTCTTGTAATAAATTAACAACTCGTGAATCATTCTGTAAAATGAAATGAAGCATTTGTATTTGTATTTATACTCTCAATCTCATCAGAAAAGAAGGCTCTCATAAACATGTATTCATATCTGTGAAAAATGTAAATGGCACTTTTAAATATTTATTAAGACTTGAAAATTCTACCATAAGGGATCTTCACAAATCATCCTAAACCAGAGAACCTCTCAAGTCATCATGATAGCAATGGATTGTTATCATTAAATCAATACTAAATGTTCAAGCTGGTTATTTGATAGTCAAACATTTGATGGTACGTTCCTTCAATTCATGGACAAAACACAATGTTTAAAATACAATATGTCAACTTACCGTCAAAGACATTCCTCCTATATTAGGTATATTATTGTATTGGCCTGTACCATAGCCATCCCCTTGCTGTTGTGACCCTGGTTGGCCATACATTTGTTGTTGGGGTGGCAATCCTTGACTAGATGGAGGGTATCCTGGCCTAGACTGCATTGTATTTGGACCAGAAGATGTTGGCTGGTATCCAGTTGGTGGTAGAGGTGGTTGACCATACTGTCCACTTGTTGGTGGCATTCCATAATTCTGAGGTCCACTTGGTGGGCCAGGAGGCTGATACATATTATGTGTTGGCCCAGGTTGAGGGCCTTGTGGTTGAACATTGTAGTTTGGAGGTCCAGTTGGTGGACCAGGTTTAAAGTTGGTTGGCCCTGATGGGGGCCCTGTCCCCATACTATAATTCTGAGATGATCCACTTGGTGGACCAGGCCTTTGAGGCATTCCTGTTGGGGGAGGCCCATAAACTGGACTTTTCACATTTGGTGGTGGACCAGGCTGCAAATAACAAAATTGTATAATAACAAGCATTCTGAGAGTATTGCAAGGCAATACATAGTCCCCTACCAGTTAAAAGTTCATTGTACTGGAACAAAATACTAACTTGATCTATAACTTGTCATGGTGTAAACTATATAACAAATATCAAGTCAATATCTTCAAGTATGACGAAAAAAAGTGTGGAAAACTGATTATTTAAGTGAATTTTCCAAGTCCAAGGACCATAACTCTGCACAAAATCATCAGACCGGAACAAAATTCGAACTTGATTTGATAAAACTATACACCAATTATCAAATCAATATCCTCAAGCATGACGAAAAAAGTGCGGAAAACTGATTTGCCAGACTGACGGATGGACAGACAGAGTGCAAACCTAAAGTCCCCTTCGACTTCGTCGGTAGGGGATATAATAATATGTTGACTTTAATATGAATTTCTGTTAGGTCAAATTACTATTGTTTTAAAAACTTTTTTGTGTATTTAAGGTATTAGGTTTTTCTATTTATGATCGCATATAAGCAATTAATTGCATTATATAAAATAAAATAATTATCCAATTTACAATGCTTAAAATTCAACAACTGTTAAAAATATATCTACTTAATATCATTGATTCATAATCTTTGAAAAGGGGGAACAATGTTCTGTTCTTAATAAAAATTCTATTTATACACAACTGTAAAAAAAACTTTTTAATACTACAACATTTTCTCATCATTATATATTCTGTGATATAACTTAAAATTGACATATTCTTGCCTAATAAAAGTTACTGATACAATGGAAAGGCACATCACAGAGAAAATTTCTCTCAAACTCAAAGATATATTGCTTATCTATATTTCATATCATACCTGTGAATAAAGAGGTTGTTTTGGTGGTGTTCCTCGACCTTGAATTTCTTGTGATAGAGGTGGTGTCATTGGCTTGGCTTGTTCACCTAGTGGCGCTAAATAGTAATAATTGTGATATCAACCAATAGGCAAACTGGTCATATCTAATTACAAAATGTATTTCATTTGTGTATCACAACACCAGTTGGAGATTTAAAAGTAGAAATTGTAATCCAAGATATTGAGAAAATCATCAAATGTACAATGAATGCATTTACATAAATGTGTGAATCAATAGCATAGATAAAGTATTTGATATTACCTCAGATTCAAGAAAATTCTTAATGTCACTGAAACCAAGGTTTATTTGAACTAAACTGGATATAAATTATGAATAAACCATATAGAAATAATATTCATGCATTTCATAAGACATGATTTTAAAAATATTTCAGCAATAACATTGTTGTTCCCTGCAAATTACTACTAAGTAATTGAAAGTTGAAGTCATCCTTTCTCAAGATTTACTGACACCATCATATGTAATATCAAGTTTAAGAAATATAGTTATTCATATATGCAGATGGTTTATGAAATTCCATTACAGCTCTTTTCATAATGCTAGCAAGACAAAGGTTTGTTTGGCTTGCTTGCTTTGTTTGTATCAATGTTTGCTCAAGCATTGTAATTAAGATTGACATCTGAAAACAACATAAAAAGGCGGATTTAAACTTGTATACATTATATTTAAATTTGATTGGACATTATCAAATAATCAAATTTACCTATACACAGGTTTAACTCCGCCTACTTATATTGTTTGCAGATGTCAATCTTAATTACAATGCTTGAGCAAACATTTATACAAACAAAGCAAGCAAGTCAAACAAACCTTTGTCTTGCTAGCATTATGAAAAGAGCTGTAATAGTGTCTTATGATTAGACAGGAGACATTTACCAATCCACTTTTGTATGTTACTTTATCACATGATATGACTCTGCAATGTACTTCAACAAGAGAAATATTGTGGGTTTCACTAATGGTACATGAACAGTTGACCTTACCCGTACACCTGAGTCTGCCCATTTTTTTTTAATTAGGGTTCATGTTACTCAATACTGTTGTTGCGTCTTTAAATCATTTTTCCTTTGGTCATGTTGTCTCTTTTCCCCTAATTTATAGTTTTTATTGCCCCTGGGTATCTTCCCCCTTTTTTTTACTACATACCAGGTGTAAACTGCCCTTCTAAGGCATCAAATGTCTGACTATTGTTCATTGGTGATGGGGTCCTCGAGGATCTCCGAGATGTGGGTTCTGAAAAAGATAAAAAGCTGTTATTTTGAATATACATATCTATTTAAACCCATTTTTAGACACTATCTGTCACCAGCCAGTTAGAAACCTGTTTACTATAGGAAATCTCTACAGCAATCTTATCATAAATACCAGATGAAATCCGTTCAATGATAATGAAATAACTTGACCATCTTACTGAACAGTTTGAATATTTCTGTGTAGCTATAAAAATGTTCAATTAAGTAATTTCAATTATTTTGTGGTTTCAGATACATCTTATGCTTTTCTTGTTACATTTCATTGAACCTTTATCATCCCTTTCATTGCTTTATTAGGGGCAGGGAAAAACTGTTTAGTACAAAAAATAGATGTGGTAGGATTGCCAATGAGACAACTATCCATCAAAAGACAATGTTGTGAACAATAAAAGGTTCAAAACACAATTTTGCTGGCTGCACTGTCTGAAAATAAAGGCTGCATGACTAACTGAAAAGAACTGTTGAATACGCATACATAAGAATAACAAGTATATGTGTCCATGGAGGCCAAAAATCACAGAACAAAATTTATGATTATGATAGTGACTAATAAAATCAAGTTTGTAATTTGATCAATAATTCAAATATTGTTAGATAACAAATTCTAATCTTAATTTTTACTTATTAGGGAGCACATTTATCTTAGTAACATTCATGACATGGTAGAAGATTCATTTATTCATTTACAATTGTGATGATGAGAACGAATCGAAAATTTACTACATATATATATTTGTGCAGTTGTACTGAACATTATCATTATACTTGACTTTTATACTTATTATTATGTATGCCATGTACATGTTTGCTTTTTTTTCTATGATGAGGGTCTCAGGGAAGATGAGTTATATAGCAAACTGTGTAACCCTCTTTAAATAAAGTATTGTTGTTGTTGTTATGTACAGGTATATTCCAGACTCGGACAGGGGCGTATGACATTTGCGCCGATTTTTAAAATTTTCATACTTTCATTTGTGCCGATTTCATTTTTTCATTTTCGCCGATTTTATATTTGCTCCTAATTGCATTTACAGTTTAACATAGGTGAGTAAATACTTGCCATACATATCGGAAGGTCAGTGCAAATGATCGCGAGAAAGGTATACTTATTTGTTCTACACACCTCAATCTTGAATGTCTTTGCAATGATATGTCTGCAATATTTATAGATGGAACTTTTAAGTGCTGTCTAAAATACTTTTATCAGTTCTATACTTTACACGGATGTAAAAATGGAAACTAAGTACCTCTATTTTACTCCCTCTTACCAGCGAAATATGAAGTGTTATGAAGTGATGTGGAAAATAATTTGCGATCTCTGCCGTCAAAACAACTTTCCTTTGTGGCCGAGGTTATGCATATTGAACAAGCAATGCATAATGCAATTATGGATGCTATTCCACAATGTAGAATAGATTGTTGTCGTTTTCATCTGACTCAGAACTGGTGGAGGAAAATCCAGTCGGTTGGGCTGAGCACAGAGTATAAAGACAAATCAAGTGACATTGGTAAATGGCTATCCCAATTGATTGACAATTCATAGCATTTGTACAACTGACTAACGGAAGAGGTCTATGATGATAAATGAAAAATAACATTCACCTGTAATTTACCTGTAAAAAAATCGGTGCAAATGAAAAAAAAAATCAGTGCAAATGAAATGCAGATCAGCGCAAATGCAAAACGCTGTCGAACAGAACATTTCATTCAGTATTTAGTACTAAAGATCACTGTCTTAATAGTAATGCTTTTCTTCATATGTTAATCATGTTGATTGACAATAAAATATTGAACTTGAACTTGTATTACAATTGTATATGAAAGTCTAATAAAAATATGATAAACTATAAAAAATCTCCCAATAATACAGTTTTCAAAATAGTTAATTTTATAATTCATTATTACTGTTAATGCATATATAACATGTAACGATATTTTATTTATGTATGCATTCAATCATACCGATTATTTGTCATTAAAGTGTCACATAAAAAAAAACAGTCTATCATCATCGCTAATACATTAAAGTAACTTATCAGACTGAGTATTACAACTTCACAAACAAACTAAGACATAGTATTGTATTGTCAGGTAAATTTTGTTTTCTTGAGACACCAAACATCTTTTTCCATTTTAGCTTTCATCATGTGATTTGAAAATGAATGCAATAATACAACAGTATGGATGTTAAAATCTCATATTCACTTGCAAAAAAGAATGCATATGTTGTCATGCTCTAGACATACTCTCACTCGTGAATCAAAGTATTGGAAAACAGGCAGTAGGTGCCTGACAGATCGAAAACAAACATATTACAGCTCATCAATGGTGAGCTGCTAAACAAATATGAAATCTTTCTATTCGGCAGTACAGAATAAATGAGTGATGAAAAAAGTAGATTCATTCAAGATATAGAAAATTAAAAGTTATGCAAACTGGAGGTAGGTATCTGACAGATCCAAAAAGTGCTCACATGTTACAACTTATCACTGTCAAGCTGGATTACAAATTAGAAGTCATTCTGTTTAGCAGTTTCTGAGATAAGTGTGACGAAAATATTTTAATTATAATTTGTTGGACAGACAGACAGACTTAAGATAATTGTAATATAACCCCCTCCCGAAATCAGGATTTAATGACTAATAAGATGGCTACATATAGTAATAAAATTCAGGATTCCATAGGAAAATATACATTAAGTAAAACATAATGACCTGTGCAAAGCAATATAATCAGAAAGCAATGACAAACACTTAAAATCAAGGTTCAATTTACTGGGTAATTCATTATAATTGAAGAAGATATCATTCTATTTCAAATTTCTACTGAATTGAATTCAAATAAAAACCAAATTTCATCAATTTAAAAACATGAGATAAAAAATCTGATTTTTAAATTTTTTTTTATCCTTTTGATTTTAGTAAAATATACCTGAATTGTTAGGTGTTAGTCCAGGTGTAAGCTGCATGCCTACTTGGTGGGAATACTGTCCCTGCCCATGGTATGGCACAGGTAGCCCATCTACAACACATATATACACACAATAAAAAAAACATGCCATGCAGATGTTAACTACTTCACAATATGCCAAATGCAAATTATGATGCATCTACCTGAAGCAACAGACATTGTAAAAACAAAAATATGAAATGTCATTTGGACACCATGCCCCTCTCACACAATATTTGGTGAACTGCAAAATCTTTGTTAAATCTCTACTCCAGGATAATTTTTAAGAAGTCCACATCATCATGAACATGAGCACTATGTTTTAAGTTTACGTGACCACAACTTCATGGTAAACTAGCTACCTTAAACTTTAACCTGATATTGGTCAGATGAATGGATTCATATGTCTAACAGGCCTCAAAGCACAATGACTTTTTATTATGATCCCCCATCTACTATGAAGGCGGGTGATAATTATTATTTGAGACTTTAAAATCAAACAACAGATGTATCTATATATCTAAATAAATTACTGTGTTTCTCTAATGTTAACTGTAACCAAAGTCATCAATAGGCAAAGAGGTTGTATTTGGAATAGAGCTTTTAAGAAATATGTCCTCCTGTGGCTATAATTTGATCAGCCAAAACTCAAAAGTGAACTGTAAACATTATTATATAAGTAATATTTTCTATACATCATCTAAATGCAGTCCAAGGACTCATCTGACCTAAAAGCTAGTGTTAGGTTTTTCTCTCCACTTTGTGTTTGCCATTCTGATTTTCTTTAAATTTGTCTACCAGCACTTTTTACATCAATAAGAACCCTGTTTTAAAATATGATCATGCATGAAACAATTGCCACTGGACATTAAGCAAACAACAATCAATAAATCAATTGGAAGCAAACTGAGTTTTTATTATCCTTATTGTATATAAATAAGGAGATGTGATATGAATGCCAGTAATACCAGCCGAGACCAAAGGACGAGGATGTTAAAACTTTATGGCACCATAGGGCCTTTAACAATGAGCAAACCCCATATATTGTATAGAAAGCTACAAGAACCCCTGTATGACAAAAATGTGAAACAACTCCATAAAAAAAAAAAACCAACATCCTGATTTAAGCTTAATACAACAGACAAAAAACAAATAGGGTAGACAGTAGCCAATTTGCTTTGTTTCAAAATTATATTAAATGATGTGATCCCCTATTCAAGATGCCTGTTATACATGTAACAAAATGTACCATAAACAGAACATATGTGTGAATTAGGCAATATACATTGTAAATATAGTTCTTTATTGTTATCTCCTTAAAATTTTAACTCATTTAAGAAAATAAAAGAACAGTGTTCCAATGTCCATGCATTGCACATATTTTATCTGTCCACGGACAATAACTAAAAAAAATAAAGTTTCATTTAATCTTTTAGTAAATATAATGCAAGAAATGTAGGCATTAGATCTAGATCTCAATGTTATTTTCCATACATTTCTTTTTTCAAGGGGCATAACTCTTGTTACAATAGTTGGTCAGCACTCTTCCTATAAGCAGGGTTGGCAAAAACCTTGGTGTGATGAGTATTGCCCAGCCCAGTGGGAAACACTTGAAAAACCGGGGTTTTACTTGGTATTAATAAAAATATCTATTACAAATATGCATAAAACAAAAATAAAGATCTATGTAATATTTCCATATTTGAATAATTATATCTAAATGTCTAAAAAGCATTTGTGTATAATGAATCATTTATGAATCTTTAAACAGTATGCAAATGTTATAAAAATCAAATGTACATGTCCTACCTGATTGCTGTGGTATCCCTGACTGGTTATTTTGAGAAATAGTAGCTTGAGGTGGCCCTGTGCCAACAGGTGGTGCACCCATTCGTGATTGTGGATGTCCAGTTGGTGGCTGACTTCCTGGATATGAAGGTGCCATACTCACTGGTGGTTGACCCATCATCATAGGTGAACCAATTCCTGCTTGCTGTGGGCCATTTGCTAATGGTGGTCGATTTGGCATTCCACCTGTAAAACCAGGATGTTGCTGCATGTTTGTCATTGGTGGTCGCATACCAGGTCTGATTTGTTGAATATTTGAAGTAGGTGGCATTTGTCCTGTCTGACTAGATGGTGGACCATACATAGGTGTTGGTGCTCCCATCTGGGGCCTGCTTATTCCAGTGTTTGGTGGTGGTCCACCAGATTGTCCTTGAACAGGTCTAATTTGTTGTGTCCTAAATCCAGGAACTGATGTAGGAGGAAAACCAGGTCTTGCACCTGGATGCTGTGGTGGAAATGGTCCATTGCCCACCAGACCCTGTACACTAGGTCTTACTTGATTTGGTGGCCCCCCAATTCCTGATGGCATTGTAGTATTTGATGTTGGATATGATGAACCATTCAATGCTGACTGTGAAAATGGTGTTTGGCTTGGAGATTGTGGTTTTCCATGGAAAGGACCTGGCACACTTGGAGGTATAGATTTGTTCATGGGTTCAAATTTGCTATTCTGAAATCCTACAAAAACAAACACAGGTTAACACTATATGAGCAAATCTTTCATGAAATGTCTTGCATATATACTCTGTCAAACTGTTAAAATGATATATGTGCTCAGCTGATACATTTCACAAGCTTGATACATCTCTGGACTCACCAGTTTTGAAAATGATGAGTCCAGACAGATTTTCAGGAATCATGGACTTGCCTTAGTGAGAACCCTGTTAATGGTCTTACTCTATCAGTCACATTTACTTAGTTTTATAATCTGAGGAGATTGATTTCATAAATTAATTAAACTGTACAGTCACAGGTGATTATCCGCAGATGGTTGCAGACAAATATAAATCTTATTACCATTACAGTCAAGCATAATGAAAATTTGGACATTGGGAAAAGTGACACTTCAATGTACTGTCAAATACATGTACATAAACCCATTTTGAGTTTGTTTTTAATAAGTTAACCCGCTTGAACAGAGTAGAATCAGTGAAAATGACGTCATTGATCAATAGAATCTCACTTCTGACATAATAATATAATTTGAGCATTGTGACATCGAAAATGGACAGGAAAGTACACAAATATGAAAGAAGTCTATTTTGATGCTTATTCTATGTTTGCTTAATACTTTGAAGTTTTATAGTATAAATGGTGTAGTTGGTTGTAGCAGTCTTAAAGCTCATGTTTATTGATAACTTTATATGTATGCCAACTCTAAATAAAATTTACTTACTTTCTTACATATGTTATTTTCTTTGCTTTCTATACAGAATGCCAGTATTGATACACCTTACATGTAATAACATCTTTATGCTTCAATATCACATATACAAGCAATCAATATATTTGTTGCCTAACAGGGACACATAATGCAGAGAAATTTAACACGATACAGTTACGTTTAATAAATACTGTAGTCCAATTTTGTCATTTCTTGCCACGAAATTATGACAAGATGTTAAAAACCACGTCACACCTGTCGTAATTTTGTTGAACGTGTTCCTTAATAAGAATATGCTTATATGAACATACAGTGAATACTCAGAATACTTATTTAAAATACATAACCATTAAAATAAATCGAGTACTACATGAAATAAACGAAAAGGTAAAATTTACCCGAGCTGCGAGACGGGTCTGACATTTCTGATCTACTAGGACTTTGGTGTCTTTAGGGTGGAATATATTCACTCCTTATTCAAAATGTTCTTGTTAATGGTACTGGTTCACTAACTTGTAAATCAATAAGTTGGACTGGAAGTAATTTAGACCGCATATTGGTTGAAAAGAATATAAAATTCAACATTTATTCAGTTGAGTCCACATTCTGAACTAGACCGGAAGCTTACAAATTATGGTCATGCGCATCACCAAAACGTGGCAAAAGGTGACTAAAGGAAAGAGTTTGGACACATAGATGCTTTATTTTGATTCAAACATCTTCCAGCAATTCAGATCATTCAGCATATACGATACAAATAAAACAAGATAGATAATGTGTGCTATTGAAAATTCTACCAACACGTCTTTTATTCTTCTGTATGCCTGCCACTGAAGCCGTGAAATAACCAATCTTTTTTTTCGGAAATAAATTTTATTTATAAAAGTATTGTGACATATTCCGTATACAGGGGCGTAGCTAGGTATCCAATATAGTGGGTCTCATTGGGGTGTAAGCGTGATGCGGGATTTGCCGTTATTTGTAAGCGTGACGCGTAGAAAACAAATTATTTTGCGTGAAAACGGGAAACGAAGTCGGGCGGGACACGTGAAATTACAAGCGCTATTATTACAATGATAAGCGGGACACGGGATTCTGACAAAACAATAAGCGGGATCCGGGATCAGAACCCCCAAATGAGACCCCCAATATACTGTAGGCACAAATTGCGGCAGGGGGTCTGGGGCTGCTCAAGGATCCCAGCAGGTCCATGGCAGAGCTCTGGTAGGGGGTTCAGGAGGGCGAAGCTCCCCGACGGAAAACGGTTTTCAGCATTTTTGTTGCAAAAGTTTGTGTACAAAAAAAAAAAAAAATAAAATTTACTGGTAATTTTATCATAATATACATGAAGAAAAGTTCAAAAGAATTATAAAAAATTTTGCAATAACATCTGACTGATGAATTGACGCAGTACAATCGGAAATCTAAAAAAAAAATATAAACAATATGCATTGCCCACCGAAGATCAGCGTAGCCTTTAATTAAGCAGTACATCCTATTTAGTATTTTCATATCTATTCCTTTCTGATTGAGGATAATTGATATATATATATACGTCAATTAATAGTACATTTTGACGATCATTCATAAAAAAAAATAGGCACCTAAACACTGAGACTACTATATAATAATACTATCCTTTGAGCTAGGGATCGACCATTCATCTTTTGATTCTTAAACCTTCACTCTCCGCGGACACACAAACACACAGTCGATACCTAATGAAGCCAGAAGTTCGGTTCTGTTCATACTATCTAACAAAATTCATATTTTTTTATATCCTGTACTGTAAAATTCATACCTAAGGAATTTGAATAATTATGGTCATTACACGTTGATCTGAGAGTACTCGAAGTTACTGAAAGCTAGCTGATTGATTAAAATTAATTGCTAAACGTCCAGTGGCAAATAGTTCATGCATGTTCTGCACAAAAACAAATTTACAATTAATACAACAGGTAGGTCCTGTAATAGGGGTCGTCCAGGATGAAGGTCTAGAAATTTGGAAATGCCATTGGGAAATGAGGGATTATTGGATAGGGACAGAAATTTTGCCTTCAGCAGACCACCTACGGACCCATCAATGAGTTGTTGCAAGTGTTCTTAACGTGCAGAGAGCGTGGCATTCTCTCGACACTAGGCATCGGATTTAACGTCCTCATTCTGTCCAGACGTGACTGCGTATTTATACATCCCGCACAGCCAAACGGACGCCCCACTTGGCAAGGGTTTTATTGTAGGTCGGATGAAGACCAAGTGGAAAGCTAGTTGAAAGCCAACAACAACTAATAAAAAAAATCATGCATCTAAGAATAAAATGTCAGGTTTTTGAGCATGTTGAGGTTCATTCATGTATTTGTTGATGGAAGTGAAATGATCTGAACCAAAGTTCTAATATAATGTACATACAATTCTATCCAATACTCCATTCACTAAGGATGATAGACTAGTGTACAAATGACATTTGATAATTAAAGAGTTTTGACGACTTCACGTGCATCTCAGTGACAGATAACGTTGTCATTATTTTTTTTTTTTAATAAAAAAAAAACATTTGTGAAAAAATTATGTGTAGGCACGTGCCTAAAGTGCCTTACGGCAGCTACACCCCTGTTTACTGTTATACGTGTTTATTGCAAAACTTCATTAAGTCTGACTCTACAAAACTCTTCCATTGACATTGACATATCAAACAATGATTATGAAATATCCACCCAACTAATTTTGTTTACTAAATTAAACATGCATGGTGCATGAATGGTAACTTTTTTAGACCTTTATATTGGAGTTCATCATGGACATTTTAATACTAAAATTTATGATAAACGAGACGATTTTTTTCAGTTTCAGTTTGTACTGTAGATTTTCTTTTCCTTGATGGTTGACTCCTTCTTATTGCGTGTACATTTATCGGTTGATTCGCTATATGCAGATTATCAGTGACCTCTCAGATTTCAGTAAACGTAATATTCTATTAATACTGAAAAAAAACTTCAAGTTACTACAGATATATATTATGACAGATATCATAAATTAGTCAAAACTTGTATTAAATTTTATCCTTGATACAAAGATTGACAGTGGTAGAATTCCTCCAAAAGTTTATTAATAAAAAGTGGTAGTCGCGTCCATATACTACAGTAATCAATTTTAAAGCTAAGCAAGGATTTGCATACTATACGTATACTGGCAAATATTTGAAGTAAGTTGTTAATGATTGTCATTCAAAGCATTCTCTTTGGCTTAATATATAAAGGTTGTAATTATACTGATGTTGTTAATTCATTCCGAGTGATAAATCCGCAAATAACTCGCTTGGCTCTGTAAGTCCGAATTAACAACAGCTATATTCGTGCATCAAGACAAAAACCTTCTTCACAAAATTGTTCAAAGTTTGGATGATCATGAAAAACATGCCACCAATACATAGAATGAAACAGAACTTCTAAATAAACAAACTAATCTATCCCCTAAATCACCATTAGATCAATATATTCGTGTCATGATCATATCATACATAATAATGACCATCTAGAACATACTATCGGATTTTATTTAGGAACTTTTAATTTGTTATACCTGGCAAAAAAAGGGGGGTCAAATGTAGGAGATCCATTAATTAATTATATCTATAAGCGAACCCTCCTTTTTTACTTCTTACAATATACAATAGGAGGATTACCTTTCCTTTCTTCAAGATATGGTTAATTCTAACAATATTGAAAAGGATACACAATTGTTTGACTATTTATTCACGGTACATTGGATAATTTCAAAATTTTGCATAGTATCATATTCTACGATATGTAACATCCTATAAAGTGTTACAAAAGACATATATTTTTTTATATAGGAACACAATTAAAGTTATGATATGATACACCGCCAACCCGTCTGTGGCAATTTTTAGTAAAATTTTAATATTTATAAAATGTTGTTTTTTTTTTCAAAGCGAATCCCCTCCATATAGCCGATAACTGGTGTTTTTACATTTTTCAAAATTGTTTACCTCCCGTCCCTATTTTTGTCAGGGACCTCCTGGTTTCCCCAATGACTTTTGTGTGTCCTTTATAAAGCATTTAAAATATAACTACTGTTTTTTTTTAATTTACAAATACAAAATAACGTCAATATATTATGTCCCAGCTCTATCAGATAAATTTTGAATATATTTAAGATCTAAATTTCTTTAACTTTATAACAATCGAATCGAGATGTATCTGATAAACTAAGGAAGACAGTGAGCATTTATGTAATTGTCAAAAGAATGTTTTTGCATGTTGATATTCATAATAGTCATATTTGAAGAAAGAGGGAACCATGCATGGATTCAAAATTTCGGAAAAACTTCATTTTGGATTCCAAGAAATGCCAACGCGTAGTTTTATCAAAATGACAAGCCCCTATCCCATGTCAAAAATGCTAAATTCCAAAAACCTGTAATGTAACATCGTTTGATTTTTTAGGGATAAAAATAAAATATATCACTGGTAGTAAATGTGGTGTAATTCGGAATTTCCAGTCTTGTCTTGTTAAGAACAATGCAACAGGACTCATGCTATCGAGTTGTAAGGTGATTCTCATAATGGATACATGTATAATTACTAGTATAGGACAGGATTCCAATAAGATTTAGATAAATCTACGAGAGAAATCGGTATTGTGTCCTATTTTCTAGAGTTTTAATAATACGATGGCTAACTTCATACCGGAGCTTCTCAAGAAGAACGAAAGAAACTGATATTATTCTGTACGTTACATGCATATGTACCGCTGCATATAAAATAGTATTCTTGTTCCTATTGTTATTGTTATTGTTATTGTTATTGTTATTGTTATTGTTATTGTTATTGTTATTCTTATAGATGCTGACCTCTCACTGAATAAGTCAGTTGTGTTACAATGTTGATCGCATATATTCTAATCCAACTTGTATACTAAAAGATATCACAGAACCGGTTAACAATCTGCTTCATATCTTGTCTAGACATTGACAATCAGGGTTGGTTGAAATCTTAACAAAGTGTATGATTTCATTTCCCCAATTGTGAACTTTCCATTTCTCTGTAGCAAAATGCGTAGGCACCTTCATGCATGCATATGAAATATATATATATATATACTGTAAATTGTGATTTTTTGCGATTTTTTTTTATTATTCTGAAAATTGCGACGCGATATGTTTCGCAAATATTAAAAGTAGTAACTCAAATTTTTATATCTTATTTGTACGCTGCATTTCTTCGCATTATTTAATCAAACATTGTTATAAAACTATCTCTGTAATAAATGCATACAAAAATTTATGAATTACATTATGATTTCCCAGTTGACACCATATTATAGGGCTTGCGTTTCCTATCAGGATTTTCTTGATAGGGTGTTGCTGCTTTCAAGGAAGTCACTCCTTAGCTCTACGGGCGCCATCATGATTTGAATTATCGTTTTGGAATATCTGCGTCACACATGACAATGAGTATGGGCCACCTGTTATAGCCACACTTCTGTCCTCTTATCCTTGATCGAAACATTACCAAATGCGACTTATCGTCGAATTTTGACAAGGCATGAGCAACACACTTGGTGCTACTAGTAGAATTAAAGTTGCTTACCCTCCGGAGAACTTGAATTCTAATGTCCATCCTAGTATTGTTTTTAAGGTATTCGCGCTGCTTTTGCTTTAATTTCATGCTGTAATGTAAGGTGTGATAATTATCTATCAATGTCCCTGCTGTGATCTCATCCTGTTTTCATTTCAAACTTTCATATCTGGTCAATGTTAGGATTAGATAATTTAGATATGTTCCAATTGTCGTAACTACAATCCCGTCCCCTTTTCCCGAACGTGACCCGGCTAACGAATTAGACTTATTACCGGGTTTGTACTAATATGAGCAACACGACGGGTGCCACATGAGGAGAAGGATCTGCTTACCCGTACTATTTTAACAGAGGTAACACGGATGTCACCAAACTAGCAGAGATAAGTAGAGCAAGCCGGAGTGTAATTTAAGGGGCTTCAAAATTAAGGATGTATAGGTGTCTTCCGCCAACATGGTTTGTATAAAAGCAGAACGCAATATAGGTCCAGAATTTTAATTAGGTCGGCAAATTTTGATGCAGGAATGCAACTTACTAACTAGAATTTTTATCAAAATGAACAAATCAATTTGATGTTAGGTCATTATCTCTCATATTTTTACAAAAGTAGAATATAATTGCTTGATTTCATTTTTCTCTAACTGTGCTTATTAAGGGGAGGTAACTCTGACAAGTATAATTGATAAAAGAATCATCAGGAAATTTTTCTATTTCATATCATAGCAGGTAAAAACGTATGAGGACACCATTTTTCATTTTGATATTCTGAAAGCAATTTAAAAGGGCTATTTTATTTCAAAATTCAATCATTTAGTTTACCTTCTTTTCACGTTATGGTGCCTTTTATCTGTACTGTCCATACACAGTTTGTCATTTTTTACAACCTAAACCTTGAAAATAAACACGGTGACCTTTAATATTTAACATGTATTTAAACAGATCACAATATATACTACATTTTGGCAAAGTATGAAAACAATTTTTTCAATTTTTTGTTTATACTCCCATATCATTTTACGCGCATGGTATGATTTTGATACCAAGTACTTCGTTTACATGGTGATGGATTAGTCCGCATGCTGTATATATGTTACTGTTTCTAATAATAACGTTTATGAGCAAATACTATAAATAATTTTATGAGTGCCCCGTGTGTAAGGGTTAGGGTGCAAATAAAGAAGTACGCTATAGAAGCGAAGCTCCTGCTAGAGGAGGAAGATAAAGACTAGGTAACAGGTAACAGGTATGATTTTTTTTTCTGTTGTTGATCGACGCCGATATATGGCAACTTTCGATCAGCTTCACTACATTCTTCTTCTTCTTCCTGGTACGGGAAAGACTCCGGTGTCGGAGTGTGGAATATCCCGGAACTGTGGCGCTATGTACATGCAAATGGATGTCGAAAATTTTGTTATAATAAAATAAAAATATTTGCCACAGTTCAATTACAATTTAAAATAACATTAGTTGTAGCTTAATGTTAAACATATTCACATTATGTACAGTGGCTTAAATACACTAATTAATTAGCCAGACTAGAACCTCCAATGTTAAGGTGGAGATACCACCTTTGAAGGATTCTAGGGAGGGTGACATGCAAACTGTTTCTGGGAGATCGTTCCAGACAGCAATAGTACTTGGGAAAAAAGATGATTTAAAAAAGTCTTTATTTGTATATATATGTCGAAATTTATGTAGGCCTCTAGTTCGCCTGTCAGATTGTGTCAGGACGTCATTAGTGACTTCGACCAACCCCCCATTAATCTTATAAATCAAGACAAGCTTAGCTTTTGTTCTACGGGATTGCAAGTTTTCCCATTTTTGTTTGTTTAACATACCAGTGACAGCGCCTAGTGATCTATCGTTATAGTCATTAAAAACATATCTTGCTGCCTTACGCTGTATCTGCTCAATTTGGTTTATTTGGCTTTGTTTGTACGGATTCCAAACTGGCGAGGAGTACTCGACGGTCGGACGCACAAGTGATGTGTACGTAAGGTTTTTAACCTTACGTGTACAGTTTTTCATGTTTCTACGTAAAAATCCTAGTGTTTTATTTGCCTTTGAAGTTATATTATTAATATGGGGCCCCCAATCAAGATCACTAGGATTCACCTTCAAATGGTTGTGATCGGCTAGAGGGATCACTAAAAATCTGTATATAAGAATAATTATTTCCTTGATATAAAAAAGAGGAAAGTATATATCTTATGCTGTTTTAGACAATATTCCACCTCAGTAATTAAAATCACATTTTTACCGCATGACAAAATACTGAAATTGAATTCAAACTATATATATATATATATATATATATATATATACCTAGATTTTTATAACGGCTGTCCTACTGTACGTATTACTATAACTTATGTTCTTTCTTTTATTCTCCATGTTTTCATGAAGGATAACTGAATCAACTTCCGCCGATTTTTTTCCTGGAGGAAAAATGGAACTTCAAGATGTGTTTTACAACAATGCAGAATATATTGAAACTGTACATTATTTTATTACTATTTCCATGTGTCTTATTTTAGCAGTCTTTTGAAGATCTCAATATGAGTCACTTGCTAAAACATACAAATAACTAACACACTTGTAAAATCTATCCTGGCTATAATTTTATTAGTGAGGTTCTACATTGTACCTAATGAGCTCCCAAAGATTACTGGTTTTTATCAAGTGGTTAATGCATATTTGTCTTACTTTTCTTATGCTACTTTTTTTACTTAAATGATTACAACTGTTGGAATTTGTATGCTCCTATATGCCTGTACCCAAGTCAGGAATATGACAGTTGTTTTCCATTCGTTTGATGTGTATGAGCTTTTGTTAGTTTCATTTGATAAAGGGCTTTCCGTTTTGAATTTTCCTTGGAGTTTGGTATTTTAGTTATTTTACTTTTTATGATTTTTTTTTGAAAATCCTAAACAGGTTCTGGGAATCTACAGGAAATGGTATTGGGTCTGTGTCTCCCTGATTACGTGTTCGCCCTGGGTCCGTTCCACCTACTTTTATAAAAAAAATATTAATATTATTACATTATTAGTATCAGAGACATATAATACAAGAGATTCGCAACTCGGCGAAATCCCGTAATAACACGCGGCCACTAGTTAAACCTCGCGAGATCTCCTTAGGTAATAAAGTCATTAATAAAAGTATTAAAAGTACTCGAAGTAAGGACGAATGTTTAAGCATAACATAAACTGTTTCAGTGTTAAATTTATCATAATTAATTAAATATAATTTGAGTACATATATAATTATTTATTTTAATGCATACATGTGATTCTTCCGGCGGGAGTCAAAATCTCCCGCTTTTCAGACCCTCTTCCGTCCCTCCCGTTAAAATTTGAAATCTTCCGCTTTTTGAAAATGTCAACCTCGTAAAATTTTCATTAGACATTTTTGTTTACAAAATCGATACGGACAGAGAAAAAGTCCGAGAAACTCGAAATCGATATGGGAAAAGTCCGAGAAAAACGGAAGTTTCCTGTAATGGATTTTGTGTCAAAAGTTAAAATAGGTAAAATTAGCCTGAGGTGTTTAGGATTAAACTGTATATACAACAATAAATAAAAGATAATAGGCAATTACCTAGTGATCAACTGGTGTCATCCTGGTTTGCCCACTTTTAATTACATGCATATGTAAACATAGGGGGGATTGTTGTTTTAACAATTATAGTTTATTTCTGAATTATAGTTATATTTTTTGCCTTTTATTTTACCTGTAAAATTTTATGAAAGATATTATATTCTGCTATTAAAGCAAGGAAAATGTGCAAAAATATTTTATATTTGATATAATTTTTAGCAGGAAAATATATTGAATTTGACAACAAAACAAATTCTAAAAATGTGTACAAAAATGTGAATTAAATTTTAGCATTTGTCAACAAATAGTTTTAATTATTGGTACATTCTGAAATTTTTTTAAAGTAAAATAATGAAACTAAGAAAAGATTAGAATAAATGTCATTTGAATTTCTTTTTATTTATTCAACTTATTCTTTTTTTAAATTTTGATAAATACACTGTTCTGAAATTTAATATAAAAAATATCCTATCAATTCTAACAAATAGAATATAAAATGCAACTCATCAGTAGCCAAGCTTTGTATATGACACCATTTGAACAGTATTAACTCTTATAATTTCCACCCCACCTAGTTGAGGATGTTTGGCTAACAACTTTAGAATACATAGGTGAAGCTGACAACATACCCGTAACAACATCATTTACTGATTACGTGACAGAGTTCTGGGTTGAAGAATACCACTTTCTATGGAACTACTACTACACAGAAGGACCACGCATCACCTGGACGGATGGCACAACAAAATCAAGAAGAGACTCCAACATGCCCACCCTTACATCTATGAGATCATTGAGTTACTGAAGAAGACCCATGCACTAACAGAATGTAATATTATCCAGTATGCAGCAGGAGGAGCCCGCCCACCAAAAAGACGAAGATACAGAGTGATAGACTCCAACTACTGAAAGACAGATACCAACAAGGACTCATCAACTACTCTGATGCAACATCCCACCTTCTCAATTTAAACTGAACAACTTAGTGAAATATTGTAATTTGTGACTTTGTAAATTTAATGTTTTGTGACTTTTGATACATATATATAAAATATTGTATTTCCGATCATTATACATATAGTGCCCCATACTACTTATTTTGACATGTGCTTTATTATTACCTTAATATGCAATGCATTTATAAACTTGATTCATATATATTATATATATTGGTGTATTTATATCATGAAAATCATTCAGAAACTAATGAATTATTAAGACACTTTTATTACTGAATGTCATTGTTTTGTCAATAGTTGTACATGTAAGTTAAATGAATCCATTGAATTGATATTAAATTATTGAGAAAAAAATGTTTAATTTAATTGTTATTTTTCTATACGGATGAAAATGGAAGTACAAAATAAAAAATACCTGAATATATAGAAAACACTAATAAACTATATTCCTAAGTTGGAACAGACTATACAATTGTATGTTCATTAAACCTTTTGTCTTTTTTGTTTTCTTTACTAATAGATAATTGGTATAATTAAAAGTGGGCAAACCAGGAGTAAACCGATCAACTAGCTAGTTTAAGACACAAGCTAGGTTGATTAAAAGTAAAATACTGACAAAGGATTAAATTGTACAAGTTGTATAAACAACGATTTAATTTGATGCTGTTGAAAACATGGAACATTTACTGAACCTCAAAGACAAATGAAATCAACTCAAATATGATATTTATGGCTTGTTTTCTATCCAAGCCAATGGAATACCTATATAAGTACAGTTGTCTTGGACTATTCTAAAATTTTAGAATTTGACAAAATGCAAACCGTATTTTTTTATCACCAAATACCCCAGCAGCAAATAAAAGAAGACCAAGTATCTAGCCAAATTCAACTCTGCCTGGAGATCTGATTTCAAATGATGCTAATCCAGTACCAAGGATCAAGACCATGCTTACTACACTTCATGCAAAGCTGACTGTGGTGGCCCTAATGATTTGACCAAACTTATGGGGACAGCTACCCACCAGCAAGCCTACAACTCTATCAATTTAACACCTTCTGTTACAAGCATGATCAGTAGTGGTACCAAAGTTGACAATGTAGCTAAATCAGGGGTACTTTTTGCCAACTCTGTATGATGGCTGATCGCTTTATCTTGAATTATATATAATGAATAAATATTTGAAAACCCCTTATCATCTATTTTTATCAAGTAAAAATGGATATGGAGTTGTTGAAAGGTATGGAATTATTGTTCTTTTAACAAACAAAAAAAGAAGATATGCAGTTTAAACACACTAAAAAACCATTGCGTACGTCGATAAATAGGTCGATAAAAAATCTCCAGTTATGAAGCCCAAACTCCAGCTGAAAATTTCCAAATCTCCAGTTGTGGCTTGACAACTCTGTCACATGTCTGTTAATGTAATTTTGATTTTAGATTTGTATTATTGAAAAAGAGACATAATTTGATATTGTATAAAAAAAAAACTGATATTAAATAATTAACACTTGATAAATTGTGTCAGAGTTCATTTTATTTGATAGTTACATAATGGGTTTCTATTGAATATACACCTGTCTCGGAGACATAATTTCACAGTGTGACATGTATATTAGGTTTGAATTATTCCATGACCAGGTAAATCACGAACATGTTATAAATAATGAGTTTTAATTGACACCTTGTAAACAAGAAGTTGTCACACCACAGGTGTCCACACTCTTTCCAAAAATACAATTCACAAAATGTATAATTAATTAATATGGAAAAAAACTTAATTTATTTGTTAATTAATTGTTAATCATGATAGGCTTTGTTTTTTATTCTTGATATTTATAAATTATTAAAATTTTATTTATTTTTATATTCCTCATTTTTTGGGCTTTCATTGAGTTTTTTTTTCTGTAGGATTGTCAGTAAATGTTTGATTTCTAAGTGTTGTTTGACAGTTTTATCATATAGGCTTGCATTGAGTTGTTTTTTTAAATGATTGTCGGTAAATTTATGGTTTCTTCATGTTCGAAGTGTGTATTGAGAATTAATATTTAAGAAAATTACAATTAATTTCTCATTTGAATAAAGCTTCATTCATGTGCACGCAATATGGAAAATTACGATTTTATTTCGTGGGATGACAATCTTAATAGTTACGACTTAGATATACTCCTAGTTGAATAAACTGATAACGAACTCTTTGTTGATAGTGAAAAAGACGAAAACATAAGCGAGAGACCCACCAACAAAAACAATTGACAATACTGCATACATAGATGGATATGTATGTCCTCGAAGCAACAAAAAATCTATAAAAAAACACAGGTCATACATCAAAGCAACACGGAAGACACTATTTAAAAGGTATTTTATAACCTTGTTTCCACGATACAATCATTTGTAGTGGTTTTTGTCTTTTAATCATTTGTAGCGGTTTTTGTCTTTTTATTCTGGGGTAAAGAGATGGCAATTTAAAAGTAAGATTGTTTATGTGTATATACATATACAAATCCTTGGTGTAAATAAAATCTTTTATTATCAAATATATATATATATATATATATATATATATATATATATATATATATATATATATATATAAAAGTCTAAATTGAAAACAACGTTCAAACCTATGATTGCGTTGGATAAAAACCCCCAATTTTTATACGTGTGCATGTAAAACAAGTTTCTTGGTAGAGGGGTCTAAATACAGCACAAACAACAATTTCCAAAAGACCAAAAAAAGTGAAAAGGTCTATTTTAACAAAACGCATTTGACTAACAGGTCGAACAACTGATGTTCTTAAACCCTGCTGACTGCCATTGGCAATTGCCAAATAAATTGATCACCAGATCTAACAAAATGGATCTTAATATTAATTAAATACCAAACAGAAAACAATAAACTTGTGGAAAAGATGATATACCACAAACATATATATA